CCCAGCCCCCTCCCTGTCTGCTGGGCCAGACTGGGGTTGCCCTGGTGGGTGAAGCGGGTGTGGAGAGAGGCAGCTTTACGCCTGGGGTCATGCCTTGCCCTCACACACAAGGTCAGGGTCAGGGAGAAAGGCGGTAGTTTGTCCATGACAGGTGCCATTTGGCATCGTTCCCACCTTGGTATGGTCCATCTGGGCAGCCTCCCTGCAGCTGGTGCCCAGACTGTGGCTTGGCTGGGAACTGGGGCTGGCATCTCAGAGCTGGGGCACAGGAGCTGGGGCACAGTGCCACTTTGAGTTGGCACAGGGGCCTCCCCTTCTGTCACCTTATGGAATCTGAGGAAGCAGACCCATTTCTCTGCCCTCTCCTGGAAGGAGGCAGCGGTGCGTGGCTAGAAGACAGGAGATGCAGCTTCTAATCCCACTGCAATACCTGCTCATGTGGGACCTGGCATGTCACTTTCCCTGGCTGAGCCTGCCTCAGGTTTCACCTCGATAAAATGAGGGTGCTGCCCTTCACAATAACCCCTCAGTGCGCCCCGGCTCAGGACTGTGGCCTGTCCCTCTCGGTGAAGGAACAGCCAGCTGCCTTTCCCCGTGGCGGCGGCAATCCTCAAATTAGTGTCATTTGCTTAATGTGACCACAGAGGCCTCGTGTAATTAGTCTCTGGGCTCCTGACTGAGGAGCTGGGCTTGGGCAGCCCCAGGAGGTGAACCTGCACTCCCTGGTGACAGTGGCAGCCTCGACAGCAGATTGTCAGAGCCGGGCGCAGCCTCCCATTTTCTTGGCTCTTTCCTGGTCCCTCCCCCGCGGTGGATTTCCTTCTTCCTGCCCTTCTCTGGCTTCCCCGTCTCCCAGACCCGCCGCGCTTCCTCTGCTGCTGCTTCGTTCCTGTTAACTCTTTGCCCCAAGGACTTCCTGCCCTTGATTTGTCGGGGGCAGGGGTGCAGGGGAAGGTTTTCTCCCTTCTACCTCCCTTCACTTCTCCATCACTAGCAGAAACCCTGCTGTCGGCAGCCTTTATCTCTTACTCAGAACTTTCCACTCCAGTAGCCATGTCCTCCCTGCCCCTGAAAACAAGATGATCTTTTCGGCAATCGTTCCCTCTAGGCCTTTGAAACCCCCACTCTCCCCAGGAATGGGTCTCTGGGATGTCTTTTCCCATCTGTTCTCCTTTGCAGAGCATGGGGTTTCACATTTTTGCCATTAAGTTGCCTGCCTGCCCGCTGTTCCCTCAGTAAATGGATTTGAAGGGAGCGTGAGCATTACAGGTTGGAATCCGTGCAGGGGAATCTGGGCGCTGCCAGCCCAGGAGTAATGTGTCCTATTAATGCACGATCAATTCCTAGTAGTAAACTCCCAGTGACGTCAGGTGCAGGCGCTGTGCCGCTGCGCCGCCTCCCTCCCGCCCGCGCCCGCCGCCCGCCGCCCGCCGCCGCAGGTCGGCTCTGCGGAGGGGCTGCACCGGCTGACGGGCCGGCGGGCCAGCTGCGTGCGCGGCTGGCTTCCGGATATCGCGCTCCTGCCTCGGTACAAACAGCAGAAGCCATGAATGAGCACGCGAGCCTCTGAGGGGCACGCACCCCAGCCCCAGCCCACCTGCCCCTTCCTTCTGGGGCCAGGAGGGGCCAGAGGCCTCCCCGGGTCACGTAAGGCAGAGTTAACGCTCAAGTTACGCTCATCTGTTTCAAACAAGAGATACTAACAGTGGGTGTTTGGATGCAGTTTTTTTCTAGAACAGTAACATCCCTTCTTTGCATTGCTGCTTTCTTGAAGGGTAACGTCTCTGCCGGCAGGAGAGCCGGGGTTCAGAAGTGGGAGTCTGGTGTGAAGGCGGCAGCAGCTCTGCCTCTGATGGGGGACTTCTGCCTCTGGAGGCCACCCTAGGTTTAGGGCGGGGACAGGCCCCTCCCAGGAACCTCGGGGCCAGGAGCCCTGGAAGTGCCTCCTTGGTGCTTTCTAACGTGGAGGCAGTAAATTGCAGGGTGTGGTGCTCAAGTCATGTTCGTGTAGAAGCTGTGACGGTGACAATGCCACCAGAGCACCTCCTCCCATGCGTCCTGCAGGGCGCCACTGGGAACCTGGCTGCTGTAGGTGTGTGAGGTGGGTTTGCGTGTGTGGCGCCACGCAGGACCCTTTCCTGCTCCTTGGCCCAGGGCTTGCTCCGGAGTTGTCCATTTGGGTTGGTCTTTCCTGTTGGTACGTGGCCCCTTCCTCAAGCTCTGAGGATGTTGTCAGCCCCAGGGAGAGTCATTGAGAAACATTAATAAGAAGCCCCAGGGGACTTCCTCCTACCACTGCCACCTTGGTGCCAGGTTTCCTGGAAATGCCACAGAGAAGTGCCCCGCTGAGGCCACAGCCTCTGCTCCACTGGCTTGTTAACCATTGTCTCCCAGAGCACGGCAGTTCCAGGTGTGGCTGTACCAGACCCGCCAGGCCTGCAGTCTCTGTGCCAGCTTGCACAGCCCTGGGGTTTCACGGCTCTAGCATTCTGCTCACCCAGGAACGCAGGAACCATGGCCCCTGGCCTGCCAGATGCCAGCAAAAACTGTCCCCAGCCTGATACGGGCTCCCAGGAGGGATGTTGCCCAAAGCCACTGGCCAGGGGTCTTGGGCCAGGGCAGCCAGGGTACAAGGCTGGGGCCTTCTGAGACCCTTCCTTCAACTCTTCTGCCTTGAGGGAGGCCCTTTCTCAGAGAGGCTGGACATTTTCTTGCCACTGACTAACTGGGTGAGGCACCCTGGGCCATCTGCTCAGCTTCTTCTAGCCTAGATTTCCTCATCACCAAAACAAGCATGTTTGCTTCAGACCCCTGTGGTCCCTGCCTGTCCACACAAGCTGCAGTCTTGTGACCCTGCCTGGGNAACTTGAAATCATGCATCTTTCAAGTGATAATGTTTCGGATCAAAGAAATAGGTGCTAAGTGTAGAATTAAAGACATACACAGTTGGGGTTAGGGGGTTGGGGAAGGCCACCTGGAGGAGGCGGCTCTTAAGAGATGAGCAGGAGTTAGCTATGAAAGAGCACACAGAGGGCCTCCAGGCACATGGAAGGGCAAGGGCGCAGAGGTGAGGACTGACAGACGGGGGGACCTCAAGTACAAAGGACGGCAAAGACACAGCTGAGCAGGAGGGCAGGGCCCAGTCACCCTAGACCTTGACTTGCAGGTTAAGGAACTTGCTCACCTGATCGGCTTTGGGCAGAGTGGGTGAGGGCCTGCAGCCCCTCCTGTGAGCCCTCATTCTCAGCAGCTCAAGAAGCCTGGAGTCCTGCTTCTTGGTGCTAAGGAGGCAGTAACTCCATCAGATCTAGATTTGAGAGAGGCATCTTTGGTCAGGGCCGCATCAGGACAGCAGCCACGGGAATCCTCAGAAGAAGACCAGACAAAAGGGTGTGGTGAGAGATTAGGGTAGGGGGAGAGGAGGGGTCAAAGGTGATGCCTGAAGGTCTGACTTGGGTTATCTGGGTGGATATGGTGTCCTACTTTGAAGGACCTTACCATCTCTGCTGGGCTCTGCACAGGGCAGAGGTCCCTGCTTTACAAAAGGATACTGTTTACTCAGCCACAAAGTGGCATGAGGCTTGAGGTCTACATGCCCTGGACTGAGAAGGCATCTGTTCACCTTGGAAAGCAGAGGGAGGTTCTAGAGAGAGGCATTTGAGATAGGGAGTGCTGCTGTGAGGCACATGGTCTCTCTGCACCCACCACCCCTCCGCCCTTCCACCCAGTGGACTCTCGGCGAACTGAATTTCTCTCACCAGGCAGCATTGAGACCCCTGTGCCTGTCCAGGCAGAGAGAGGTTTAATCCCATGTTGTGTAATCATGGTTACTCATCACGTTTCCATGGATGGGTTGGAGTGCAGGCCAGGGACCTGGGCCTACAAGCCTGTCCAGGGAGGGCAAGGATTGGTGCAGGGTCCTTGGTCCTGAGTGGGAGGCCTGGGGCCAGGATTGGGTCTGAAGCAGGAGGGGGAGGGACTGGGGCTGGGCCAGGTCTGGAGTCTGACGGCAGTTGTTAGAGGTCTGAGGTTCATGGTGACCTGTCAGGGGTTCTAGATGCAGTCTGGGTCCCTGGTTGGATGTTCTGATTTTACGTTCGTGTCCAGAGATCTGGGTGCTGGGTCTAGAGTTAACAGTCCAAGTCCAGGTCTGGGCTCTTCCTTCCTACAAGTCCAGGGTTTAGGGTTTAGGGTCATTATAGCCGTGCAAGTCTGGGGTGGGAATTAGGGTTGGTGTCAGCAACCAGGATAAAATCGGTGTTTGAGATGGTGGTCCAAAATCTGGATCCGGGATACTGTTAGGGGTCTGGGGTCAGTATCAGGATCTGGGTGTGGGGTAGGGGACAAAGGGTTGTGATCTGAGCAGTTATGGTCAGGGTCTCAGGCAGTGGTCCAAGGTCTGGGGCTAGGGTCCTGTTTAGAGTCTGGTCTCAGGAACTTCAATCCAGGTCTGGCGTCAGGTAGTGCCCCAGGTCAAGGGGTCAAGGGTTTTTTGCAGGGTCTGAAGTCCAAGTCCCTGGCATCACGTTCTGAAGTGCCAGTCTGGGGTCCAGGCCTGCTCCAGGTGGAGGCGGGAATCCCACTTGTGATCCGAGCTGTGCTCACGGTTCGGGTCTAGGGTCTTCGGTCTCGCGTCCCCGTCATGTTCCAGGTCCGGGGTCAGGTCGGGGCCCGGGCCCCGGGTCGGGGCCGGAGGGTGGAGTTCCAGGTCGCCCCCGGTCTGAAGGGGGGTCTGGGGGGCCGCGGGGGTCAGGTTCGCTCCCGGCCGCGCGGCCTCCAGGGGGCGCCGCCGCCGCCGCCCGCCCGCCCGGCCGCTCGCGGGCTCGCTGGCGCTGTGCGCGGCAGGCGGGGCCGGAGGCGGCGGCGGCTCCGGGGTGCGGGCAGCGGCGGCGGCGGCGGCGGCGGCCCGACTGCAGTCCCGGCGGGAGCGGAGCGAGCCGGGGCCGGGCCCGAGCCGGCGCCATGGGGCGGCGGCGCCTGTGAGCCGCGGCGAGCGAGCCGCGGGCGCCGAGGGGGCGAGCGGGCAGCGGCGCCCGAGGCCGACGGAGCGGCCGGGCCGAGGCGCCGAGCCGAGCGGAGCGGAGCCGAGCGGCGGGAGAGGCCGCCGCCGCCGCCGCCAAGATGGCGGACCTGGAGGCGGTGCTGGCCGACGTGAGCTACCTGATGGCCATGGAGAAGAGCAAGGCCACGCCGGCCGCGCGCGCCAGCAAGAAGATCCTGCTGCCCGAGCCCAGGTGAGCGGCCGCCGGCCCGGCCCGAGCCCCGCCGGCGCCCGGCCCCGGCCCCGCACCCCTGCGCCCCGGCCGCCGCTCCGGGGCCAGCAGCCCCCCGCCGGAGCTCGAGGCGCCAGGACTTGTGCGCCCGAACCCGGGGCGCCCCCACGCCAGGGCTCCCCAGCCCGACGGGCTCCCCGCCTCGCTCGGCGCCCCCCCTGCCCCGCTCTGCCGCCCCGTCCCTCCGTGTGCACTCACCCCGCAGCCCCTCGCCCCTGCCTTCTCCCACAGGGTTCCCGGGCGCCCTCCACCCTGCTCCCCGCAGCTCTTGGTGCCCGTTGGGTCCCCTCCGCTGCCTGCCACCATCTACCTGGCCTGCCTGTGTCGCCCATGCCTTTGCTGCCCCTGCGCCCAGCACTCAGACGCGGGGTTCCTCCACTCCAACCCTTAGCTCCCCGTGGTTGTCACTTGTGTGAGGTTTGGGGAGACAAGTCTTCCCAGGTCTTCCCACCCTCTGGGGGCTCACTGGCTTGGGGTTTAAGAGTGCTTTGAGGGCCAGGGTGGTGGTGGGGGCAGGGTACGTGGTGTGTGTCCCATCCTCGTGGGGGGACACCCGCTGTCCCTCTGCCCTTGAATTCCCCCTCTGGTGGGCCCTGCCTATGCTGCCTGTGGGTGCTATTTGCCAGGGGACAGCCCAGCAAACCTGCAGCTGGACCATGATTGCCACCTCTCTGTGAGACAACTGATGTCACTACACCTGGTAGCAAAGTTTAAACTGTTCAGGATGCAGTCACAGAAGTGTACAGGATCCTGACCATAGCTGAGGCTTGTCTGGCCTTTTATGGCTTCAACTGTATTTTCCAGTGTTTCAGCTACATAGTAGCCCATGGGCAGGTGGAACAGGTATGGTTTTGTCCCCATGGAATAGGTGGGAAAGGTGAAGGCCCAGAGGTGAGTGGCCTGACCAGTGTCACAGGTAATCCAGGGTGATGCCTAGTTAGCACATCAGGACTTCTGGCCTCTAGTTCCACACTGTGCCCACCACTCTGGCTTGAGCTGGGGACTGGCCATTCTGCATCTCCGAGAGCCACGCGCCCACCACAATTCTTCATGACATGTGTCAAGGCCAGTCGCAGCAACTCCTCTATACCTGCCTGAGTGTTGGCATGCTGGTGCCTGGCCGGCCCAGGAGCCTGGCCCTGTCCTAGCTCTCAATGGTCTTTATCACGTGACTTCGGGCAAGTCCCTTCCCTTCCAGGGCCTCGGTTTTCTCATCTGTGAAATGTGGATGGTGTGAAATAAGGGCTTTGACACTTGGGCAACCTGAGTCTGAAGCAGAGCCCAAAGCTGCACGGGGTTACTATACCGATGGCTCAGCTACCCCCCTTGCATGCATGCCCTGCTCACTGGGTTTCAGACTGACTGAATACCAGGCCTGGGAGAGGAAAATTGCTCTGCCTTTTGAAAAAGCCGTTAGGGCCCTTTTTTCTCTAAGACATTGCAATCAGATTTCTCAAAACAGGAACCAGACTGACTGTCAGCTGGGGGCTGTCCAGGCAGCGGCAACAGTTAGAACAAAAACGAGTTCAGAAATGACAAAGCCACAAGGGAGGAAATGGGGGAGACAACCTCTGGGGCTCATAGTGGCTTTCCTTGGTGACCTTAGCCTCAAGACCCTCCTGCAGGTTCGAGTTCTGCAAAGTATCAGGCGGGGCTTTTTTCTGGAACTCTCTGTGTTTGGGTAATCCTTCCCCAGAATGCATTGCTCCTGATGGGGCCCCGCCTTGGGTTGGCTGTGCAGGTGTTAGAACGCTGAGAAACGAGATGTTCCTCTTTTCCTGTCCCCTTTACTCTCCATGGTAGTCATGGTGGTGATAGGACGATGGAAATTGGAAATTACAATAATTTATAATTTATTTTGACATCTGCCACCTCAGTTGATCCAAAAACCAACCTGTGAAGTTGGCAAGGCCAGCTTCAAGAGTAGTTGCTCAAGAAATACCAAGAGTGTGTGATATCTGAAACCAGGTAGGCTGTGAGTTTTAGGGCAGTAGAAGGACACGGAGAGCCAGGTGTCCTGGGGTCTTGTGCAGGGTCACCATCTGGCAGCACAGTGTTGGGCAGATTCACCCCCATTTGTGAGCCGGACTAGAGGCTCTGCAGTGGCCATCAGTGAGCTAAGGGCTGGGGAGGGCCTGAGCTGCTCTGTGCAGCAGGCCTAGGGTGGTCTGAGGAGTCCGGGGATCCTGCATTGGAGGACATGCCACCCTGTATGCTTATGCCTTGCACACCCAGGGGGTTGGATGCCTCACCCCCTGGAAAAGTCACTGTGACTGTGCCTTACGTTTGCCTCTCACTTCCCAGTTTGCAAAGTGGTTTTTACTCTATTTTGTCCTTTTCACAACTGTGGGAAGCAGACACAGCAGGTAGTATTCTCCCATTTAACAGTTAAAGCAACTGAGGCTCAGAGAAGGGTAAAGACTTAGGCACAGAGATGAGCTAGAACTTGAACCTGGGTCTCTGGACTCCCTTCCCCGCTCTGCTTCATGTCCTCCACACGCCCCTCCACCTCGTACGTGCCGGTTGGCACTCCTGGTCTGGGGAGGTGGCCTGGAAGCAGGGCAGCCCCAGCACTGTCACAAGGCCCAGCCCCCTCCCTGTCTGCTGGGCCAGACTGGGGTTGCCCTGGTGGGTGAAGCGGGTGTGGAGAGAGGCAGCTTTACGCCTGGGGTCATGCCTTGCCCTCACACACAAGGTCAGGGTCAGGGAGAAAGGCGGTAGTTTGTCCATGACAGGTGCCATTTGGCATCGTTCCCACCTTGGTATGGTCCATCTGGGCAGCCTCCCTGCAGCTGGTGCCCAGACTGTGGCTTGGCTGGGAACTGGGGCTGGCATCTCAGAGCTGGGGCACAGGAGCTGGGGCACAGTGCCACTTTGAGTTGGCACAGGGGCCTCCCCTTCTGTCACCTTATGGAATCTGAGGAAGCAGACCCATTTCTCTGCCCTCTCCTGGAAGGAGGCAGCGGTGCGTGGCTAGAAGACAGGAGATGCAGCTTCTAATCCCACTGCAATACCTGCTCATGTGGGACCTGGCATGTCACTTTCCCTGGCTGAGCCTGCCTCAGGTTTCACCTCGATAAAATGAGGGTGCTGCCCTTCACAATAACCCCTCAGTGCGCCCCGGCTCAGGACTGTGGCCTGTCCCTCTCGGTGAAGGAACAGCCAGCTGCCTTTCCCCGTGGCGGCGGCAATCCTCAAATTAGTGTCATTTGCTTAATGTGACCACAGAGGCCTCGTGTAATTAGTCTCTGGGCTCCTGACTGAGGAGCTGGGCTTGGGCAGCCCCAGGAGGTGAACCTGCACTCCCTGGTGACAGTGGCAGCCTCGACAGCAGATTGTCAGAGCCGGGCGCAGCCTCCCATTTTCTTGGCTCTTTCCTGGTCCCTCCCCCGCGGTGGATTTCCTTCTTCCTGCCCTTCTCTGGCTTCCCCGTCTCCCAGACCCGCCGCGCTTCCTCTGCTGCTGCTTCGTTCCTGTTAACTCTTTGCCCCAAGGACTTCCTGCCCTTGATTTGTCGGGGGCAGGGGTGCAGGGGAAGGTTTTCTCCCTTCTACCTCCCTTCACTTCTCCATCACTAGCAGAAACCCTGCTGTCGGCAGCCTTTATCTCTTACTCAGAACTTTCCACTCCAGTAGCCATGTCCTCCCTGCCCCTGAAAACAAGATGATCTTTTCGGCAATCGTTCCCTCTAGGCCTTTGAAACCCCCACTCTCCCCAGGAATGGGTCTCTGGGATGTCTTTTCCCATCTGTTCTCCTTTGCAGAGCATGGGGTTTCACATTTTTGCCATTAAGTTGCCTGCCTGCCCGCTGTTCCCTCAGTAAATGGATTTGAAGGGAGCGTGAGCATTACAGGTTGGAATCCGTGCAGGGGAATCTGGGCGCTGCCAGCCCAGGAGTAATGTGTCCTATTAATGCACGATCAATTCCTAGTAGTAAACTCCCAGTGACGTCAGGTGCAGGCGCTGTGCCGCTGCGCCGCCTCCCTCCCGCCCGCGCCCGCCGCCCGCCGCCCGCCGCCGCAGGTCGGCTCTGCGGAGGGGCTGCACCGGCTGACGGGCCGGCGGGCCAGCTGCGTGCGCGGCTGGCTTCCGGATATCGCGCTCCTGCCTCGGTACAAACAGCAGAAGCCATGAATGAGCACGCGAGCCTCTGAGGGGCACGCACCCCAGCCCCAGCCCACCTGCCCCTTCCTTCTGGGGCCAGGAGGGGCCAGAGGCCTCCCCGGGTCACGTAAGGCAGAGTTAACGCTCAAGTTACGCTCATCTGTTTCAAACAAGAGATACTAACAGTGGGTGTTTGGATGCAGTTTTTTTCTAGAACAGTAACATCCCTTCTTTGCATTGCTGCTTTCTTGAAGGGTAACGTCTCTGCCGGCAGGAGAGCCGGGGTTCAGAAGTGGGAGTCTGGTGTGAAGGCGGCAGCAGCTCTGCCTCTGATGGGGGACTTCTGCCTCTGGAGGCCACCCTAGGTTTAGGGCGGGGACAGGCCCCTCCCAGGAACCTCGGGGCCAGGAGCCCTGGAAGTGCCTCCTTGGTGCTTTCTAACGTGGAGGCAGTAAATTGCAGGGTGTGGTGCTCAAGTCATGTTCGTGTAGAAGCTGTGACGGTGACAATGCCACCAGAGCACCTCCTCCCATGCGTCCTGCAGGGCGCCACTGGGAACCTGGCTGCTGTAGGTGTGTGAGGTGGGTTTGCGTGTGTGGCGCCACGCAGGACCCTTTCCTGCTCCTTGGCCCAGGGCTTGCTCCGGAGTTGTCCATTTGGGTTGGTCTTTCCTGTTGGTACGTGGCCCCTTCCTCAAGCTCTGAGGATGTTGTCAGCCCCAGGGAGAGTCATTGAGAAACATTAATAAGAAGCCCCAGGGGACTTCCTCCTACCACTGCCACCTTGGTGCCAGGTTTCCTGGAAATGCCACAGAGAAGTGCCCCGCTGAGGCCACAGCCTCTGCTCCACTGGCTTGTTAACCATTGTCTCCCAGAGCACGGCAGTTCCAGGTGTGGCTGTACCAGACCCGCCAGGCCTGCAGTCTCTGTGCCAGCTTGCACAGCCCTGGGGTTTCACGGCTCTAGCATTCTGCTCACCCAGGAACGCAGGAACCATGGCCCCTGGCCTGCCAGATGCCAGCAAAAACTGTCCCCAGCCTGATACGGGCTCCCAGGAGGGATGTTGCCCAAAGCCACTGGCCAGGGGTCTTGGGCCAGGGCAGCCAGGGTACAAGGCTGGGGCCTTCTGAGACCCTTCCTTCAACTCTTCTGCCTTGAGGGAGGCCCTTTCTCAGAGAGGCTGAACATTTTCTTGCCACTGACTAACTGGGTGAGGCACCCTGGGCCATCTGCTCAGCTTCTTCTAGCCTAGATTTCCTCATCACCAAAACAAGCATGTTTGCTTCAGACCCCTGTGGTCCCTGCCTGTCCACACAAGCTGCAGTCTTGTGACCCTGCCTGGGAGTCACCTGTGAGGGCCCACAGCAGCCCACCCAGCCGCTGCGCCACAGAGCGGGGGACTTTGCTTTTCCTCTGAACCACGTGGTGCCAGAAGGTACCGGAAGTTCTCCCTCTCAGCCTTCAACCCCTCCCTGCCTGCCGGCTGTCCTGCCTCACCCCAGCCCACGCTCTGGGCAGGCAGGGAGGAAGTGCGCCCTCCCCCAGTGTGAGAGCCCCTGAACGAGAGTGAACAGTGCTGTCAGCAGTGCGCTCAGTGAGCCCAGCCTCCTGCCCAGGGCCCTTCCAGGCTTCCCCGGGACCCCCGTGCTGAGCATCAGAGTACGCGAGGCTGGTCTCTATGCATCTCGCACCTGGCTCAAGGAGTGTGCCTAGGCCGGCCCTGGTTAGGGCTTGCCAGTCAGGAGGCTGCCTGGCCATAGGCCTCACCCTCCAGGGCATGTCAGGTGTAGGACAGAGACCCAAACAAGACCGAGTATTTAATGCGTGTTCTAGAAGGAGATGGAGGCTGTGGGGTCCTCCTGGAGGGGACGTGAGCTGACAGCCCTGATGGCAAGGCTGGCCCCTCAGGAGAATTCTCCTTCTGCTGTGTCCTCTCGGGCTTTTTAAACAGCCAGCTCCATGGTAGCAATTTAGCATTTTGTTGACATCCTCATTTTACAAATGGGGAAACTGGAAATTTAAAGTTTGTGACTTGGCCTGGCCTCCAGGGGGGGAGGCAGGAGTAGCCATTTGGAGCCCAGGCCTGGGCATCCCCTTGACCAAAAGCAAAGACTGCCTGAGGCTCAGCCCAGAGGGTCCTTCCGGCAGGGAAGATGGAGGCCTGTGGCTCTCTTGACAAGCCCATCCAGGAGCCTTGTGTTCCTGGGTGTCAGAGTTGTTGATGGGCCAGGGCAGGAATGCTGCTGTGGGCGTTTCACCACTCCAGACTCCACCAGGATCAGGGAGCAGGTGCTGGACACAAAGGTGACCCAGCTGGGGAGCTGCCACCGCCCTCCATGACAGCCTGTATTTGCCATCCTGTCAGGAGTGTCTCCCAGGACACGCTTTTCTCACCTCCCAGCTCCCTCAGCCGCCAGCCTCACGGGAATGGACAGGAGACCCTGACGCAGCTGTTTTGGGGGCCTTCCACCTAAAGGCTCCGCTCTAGTCTGACTTCTTGTTTGGTTGGGAGGGGCGGGTTGTTTATTTTATTTAGAAAACATTTTTTTCTTTTTAAGGAAGAAAGTGAAGTGCTGTCGGCTGAAGGATGCTGCGGCCATCTGTGCAGGCTGCCGAGGGGCAGGGTCTGGCCACCAGCGGTTCCAAGCTGGGGCCCCCTTCCTGCTTTCCCCTGGGCTGAGCCAGCAGCAGAGCCCAGGAGGGAGAAGGCTCTGTACAGGTGCAGCTCCGAGAAGAGATGGTTCTGTCCTCGGAGGCAGGGCCTCTTAGAGAGCGTGTTTCCCCTGCGGGTTTTTGCAAGCTCAGTTCCTGGCTGTTCTGGGGCGTTGGCGAGTCCTGTGGGGGGAGGTAGCTGTGCTGCTCTCTGGGACCTAGGCGGGCATTGCCATGGCATCCCCGATGCTAAGCTGGTGCTGGCCTTGAGAGTTCCCAGCACAAGTTTTTGGGGCTCAGTAGGGCTTCCCAGTGCCTGTTGGCAGGGGCCAGTCCCAGCCGCCTGGGGGTGTCACCACTGAGGGAATGGAGTTGGTTAGCCTATTGCCTGTATCTACCTGTCTGGACATCCTGCCTGACCACACTTGACCACCATGACCATCCACCTCCGTGGAGAGTTGACATTTTGTGATATTTTTCCCTCTTTATTGCTTTTTTTCATTCCCTTCCATAGACCAAAATATCTCGAAACCCAGGGATTGGGTGCAGATGTGTAGAGCCGAGGGGAGGTGAGGGCCCAGCCTGCCTGGTCCGGGCACCTGGCCCTTGCAGGGGGCCTGGGCTCCCCTGGCTGCGAGGCCCCTGCTGAGCCTTCACCGCCCTGCTCTGGCCCTCCCTGCTCACCGCGGCCTGGCCTGCTGTCCGAATGAACGGGAGGCCCTGCGCTCTTCCTCCCGGAGACTATGGGAATACAGTCTCTAGTTCGCAGGCTCCCGGGCAGGTCTTGCGAGCCCCTGCTGTATGTGAAGCGCATGTGGCATCTGGCCTTGCCTCCTGAGTCCCTGTGAGTCCCAGGGGGCTGGGGAGACGTGTCCTTGACGGTGGCTGGTGGATGTATGGCCCCCAGGAGGGGAGAGTGTCCTGGCATGGGTGGGGGCCATATCCTGGCCGTTGAGCCCCCTCTAGTTGTAAGGGTGGCCTCACTTTCTCAGAGGGAACTGGCTGAAGTGGCAGTACTGGGCCATTGGCCTCTGGCTGGAGTCACAAGATGGGGACACAGGAGGGATGTCCTGGTCATCAGTGCCCTTCTGCCTGTAGGAGACAGCTTTCAGAGGACGCCTCCAAGGGTGGGGAAACAGGAGAGGGGGTCAGGTCTTCACTACTGTGCCTGGGACGACTCTGTGTGGCCATGTGTTACCCTACGTGGCTCAGACATGCACAGGGGCCTGAGTTTCCACCCAGACAGTCTCAGAAGGAAAGTGTTGAGCAGAAAAGGGCAGCAGTGCCCTGCCTTTGAGCCCAGGCCACAAGGCTGGTGGGCCCTCGGGCTGTGCTGGACCTGCCTAGAGCCCACCTCCTCAAGCCTCAAGCCCCTGCAGGTGTGGTCTGCCTGCCAGTTGGCCTTGTCAGCCCTTCATCTGTCTGCCCGCTGGTTCCAGCCTGCTCCTGCCCCACTCTGTTTCTTCCCTCCTTCCTGGCCCAGTGTCATCATCGACCTGGGCTTCCTCCCGCAGGTGCCTCCAGCAGCCTGTCTGCTCACTCAGTGCCCTGGACCCAGCTTCCCTTGTCCTCTGCTAATCCCCTCCCTGCCCTGTGGCCTCTTGCTCATCCTTGGCCAGGCCTTCCCCCCCACATCCACCCATCTGCCTCGGGTTTTGCTACCTGTCAACATCCTGTTTGCACTTGAACCCAGTGGAATTCCACGTTCTCTACACAGCCTCTCCTGGCAGCCCGGAACACCCCTCCCTTCACCAGTCTTCTTGCACTGATGGTCCCGCTCAGGCCTATCACTGTCTGATGTCATAGGACCAGACACAGAACCTGTGCCCTGGGAGGGCCTGCTGGGAGGGCAGGGGTGCATAGCTCTCTGGTAGGTGATGCACAGCAGGCCCAGTGACCACGGCCCTGTGTTGGGCTCCAAGAGGGGCACATGGCTGTAGCGAGGCAAGGGCACAGACTTTCCAATTCAGGTCTTCCCAGCTGCAGTCCCTTCGTCAGTGGCCTGCTGGAGGCCCCACATGTCCCGAGGGCCTTGTGAGCATTGCATGAGCTCCAATGTGACTGCCCAGCCGAGCCCTCAGTATGGGCACCCAAGAGCATCCTCAGGAGCCTGGGCTAGTGAGGGCCAGTGTGACCACAACTGGCTGTCATGAAGGCAGGTTGGCAGGCTAGACTGCAGGTGGCCCGGGAGCAGGAAGGAGGGACAGCAAGGTGCATCTAAGGCATATTGTGCAGCCTGGTGTCACTTTCCCAGACAGCTCTGGGTGTTGGGGGAAGATAAACGGGTCACAGTGGCCAGCCCCTCCCCTGCTGACCTCCCAAGCAACCCAGGGGTGGGGGTCATGTTTTTATTTCATGTAGTAGGGACACTGGACCTAAGGCTTGGGTTTTTCTTTTTTTAACTATTTTTAAAAACTGAGATATAATTCATGGAACATAAAATTCATCATTTTGAAGTGTACATACAGTCCAGTGGATTTTCACACATTCACCACAATGTGCGGCCCTCAGCCACTCCCTGATTCCAGACTCCATCTCCCGAGAAAGAAACCCCGCCCCCATGAGTGCCGACCCACCTGCCGTCTCTGGAGATCTGCCTGTCCTGGACGTGTGATGCAAATGGAATCATATGTGGCCTTCGTGACTATCCCTTTTCACCTAGCAGAGTGCTGAGGCTCCTCCGTATTACAACACCTTCCACTGCTTCCTTGCGCCTTATGGCCAGGCAGTATTCCCCAGTGAGGACAGGCCACATGTTGCTTAGCCATCACCTGCTGATGGGTGAGCCTGGCTTTTGAGGTTTGGTCAAGTTCCCAAAGCCAGGATGAGACAGCACCTGGACCAGCATTCTGCGCAGTCTCCTGCTAGCTCCCCGAGCTTTTGGGGGAGAGCCTCAGTCGGCACAGGCTTCTCCAGGCCCCTCTGCTGTGACTAGTGGTCAGGCCCAACAGGGGTGGCCGCTTTGCCTGGGGGTTGCAGTGGCACACCCCCCTCCCCAGCAGTGCCCCCGACTTGATTCTGGGAGGAGAGTCGGTGGCCTTCCAAGCAAGGGCCATCAGATCTGAAGGGAGCCACGGGGCTCTGGGTCACCCCTGCCCCTCTGTCGTTCAGCATCCGCAGCGTCATGCAGAAGTACTTGGAAGACCGGGGCGAGGTGACCTTTGAAAAGATCTTCTCCCAGAAGCTGGGTAAGTACAGTGGGGGCTCTGCTGGCCCCAAGGACTTCCCACCACTTGTCCAGCTGCCCGGGCCTGGAGTGTGGGGACAGGAGGACCCTAAAACTACCTCCTACCCCCGCCCTAGCTTGCTGTTTCCTTCTCCCAGGAGGTTTGGCCTCCCCGGTGCTTGAGGAAGGGCGGCCAGCGGGGCCGCTTCCCCCACCCACCGGGGCAGCAGGGCTGTGACCCTTGGTCCCTCCCAGCCCCTGGCTCTTGGGCCAGGGAGCCCCGTGAAGGGGGTGGGGGCCCCACAGTCTTCCAGGGCTGCCGGGGGAGTTCCTCCTTTGGGTTTTTGTTTGTGAGAGTTGCAGCTTCCCCTTGGCGCAGGCACAGCGGCTCTGGACCGTTGGTAGAACTGACAGGAAGGGGCGGAGCCCTTCCTGTGGCGCCTGCCGCGCTGTGGCCGCCCACCCCGCCCCCATGGGCCCTCTGTGAGCGACCTGCTTCGGCCGTCCCCTGGATCTTCCTCCACCGGTGCCTTTTGTCTTAGACGTGTCGTGGGGCCACAGCATGGACCTGGCCCACAGGGTTGGGGTAGATGTCGGGGAGGCAAGCTCCAGCCACTCAGGGCTCCGATTTGGGCTTCTGGAGAACAGGTCTCAGCTCTGAAGTGGGACTGACCCAGCCTGGCCTGGCAGCATAAGCGTTGGAGGGCAGGCTTAGGGAGTCGGTGTATTAGGAAGCACACAGTTTGGGTCTCCGACCATGCTGTGTGAGCTGGGGCATATTGCTTCACCTCTCTGAGCCTGCTGGTGGCCACACCTGGGAACCGAGACTCAGGAGGCCTGTTGCCCAGGGCTGTTGGAGGACTGGGTAAAGTGGGGTCAGCACAAGCCCCTTGCGGGGAGCCCTGGTCACAAGTTACTCAAAGGCACAGTATTGAAAGGCCAGAAGTGATGGCCACGAGCTCCGGCAGAGGTGCCCAGCAGTGTCCCCAGAGAGTCATGGGAAGCCGTCGAGTGCGAGCCAGGTCACTCATGTCGGGGTGGACCGAGCTGGGACCATCCCTGCTTCTGCTCTGCCCTCCAGGGCTGCCAAGCCTTGGGCCCTCACTCCCTGCTGTGGGGTGAGGCCTGGGGCTGCTGTGAGCCCTTCCTGCCGCCCACCCCACCCCACCCCTTCCCCAGCTGCCTCTGCCCTTCAAGGCCCTCTGCACCGAGGCTCCTCTGCCAGGCTGCTTCCCAGGACCTGCCTCCCCTGGATAGAGGATGCTCCCCATAAACTGCTAACTGCCAGGCCTCCTTGAGCCTCGGTTTCCCCAGCTGGACCCTTTCCCCACGCCCCCTGCCCCACACTGTCTGCCTATTTCTTAGGGCTGCTATGAGAATTAGCCCGATGGTGGAGGGGCTGTGAGGTCCAGGGAGAGGAGTAGGGCCCCCCTCGGAGGTTGCCCACCTCCCACTGCTGCAGCTCAGGCCGGCCCCACAGGTCTCACTGTGCCGGCAGGGGAGGGGGCACAAGCCCCAGCCTCAGTGAGGGGACCTGGGCACCAGAGCCAGCCCTCCACCTCTGCCTCATAAGGGCACCTGTCACATTCCAGCCACCACCTGAGGAAGCAGATATAAGAGGAGAGAGATGCAGGCACCCCTACCCCAAACCCGGGGATCTTTAGGTGACAGCAGCCTTGGTGCTGCCTTGCCCAGCCCCCACCTAGGGGAGAGACCATCTCTGCCGCCCCCTCAGCCAGTCTGCCCACACTGCCCACCATTTGGGCAGGCCTTGGGGCGGGGGCTCAGCCCCCAACGTGCCTCTTTCAGGGTACCTGCTCTTCCGGGACTTCTGCCTGAAGCACCTGGAGGAGGCCAAGCCCCTGGTGGAGTTCTATGAGGAGGTGAGGGCCTGCTGGGCCCCGAGGGGGGAGGGCTGAGGATGCTCTTGTTGAATCCGCGAGATGCCTAGTGCTGGCGCTGCTGTGTCACCCGTGGGGCTCTTGTCCACTAGATCAAGAAATACGAGAAACTGGAGACAGAGGGGGAGCGCCTGGCGCGCAGCCGGGACGTCTTTGACACCTACATCATGAAGGAGCTGCTGGCCTGCTCGCATGTGAGTGTCCAGCCAGCTGGCCCTCGGGCCCCAGGCCCACAGTGACCTGGGTATCGGGAAGGGATGGCAGACCCTGTGGAGAATTCACAGTCCCCTCTCTTCCCCAGCCCTTCTCAAAAAGTGCCATTGAGCATGTCCAGGGCCACCTGGTGAAGAAGCAGGTGCCTCCAGATCTCTTCCAGGTGTGTGCTGGGCTCATTCCCCACTGCCTCCATCCCAGCCAGGGTCACCCTGGCAGCAGGTCAGGGAGCTCAGTTGGCTCCCACTCTGGCTCAGTCACCAACCTCCAGCTTCTTTCCTTAGCCGTACATTGAAGAGATTTGTCAGAACCTCCGAGGGGATGTGTTCCAGAAATTCATCGAGAGGTGAGAGCAGGGCGTGTGTGGGAGGGGCAGGGGAGGAAGACGGCGTGTGGACATGAGAGGGAAGCCAGGCTGCTTTAGGGCCCAAGCAGGGCACCTGGGCCCAGCTGTGCCCACGCAGGGACCTCTGATGTCTGTCACCTTTTTCACACTCCTGCCCCATCGTCCTCAGCACCAGGCATCTCTGGGCCCATCCCAGACGATGCTCCAGGGATCGAGGGGCCACCTGTGCATCTTTCCCTCCCAGAGACTGTCACCTTGCTGTGCCCATCCTGGCTGAGAGGTCTCAGGATGGCAGTAGGGGCAGGCATGAGAGGGCACACAGTCCCCTGTCCTGTGGCTCTCATGGCCAGAGCTGGCCTGGTGGGTGGGAGTTGCAGGCAGATCTCAGCTTGATACAAAGAGCAGGGTCCCGGCTGCCCAGCCACTGAGTGGTGGCTCCACAGGACCAAGGGCCATGCCACTGAGATGTGCGTGCGGGGATGAGGCAGGCCTTGTCGAGGATACGATAACAGGGAATCTGGGGCTGAGTGGGAAGTCGTCCTGTCCAAGCTTATCTGATCCCAGCAGGAATCCCTAAACAGGTGGCCAGACCCTGCTGTCCTGGGCAGTCCAGAACAGGACACTGAGGCCCAGCCCCAGGGAGTGGCAGTGGGGGTGGTGCAGGCTTGACCCAGCATCACTCTGTCCCCTTTCTGAGGCTCATCTCAGCCCTGGGTTCTTCTCTTACAGCGATAAGTTCACACGATTTTGCCAGTGGAAGAACGTGGAGCTCAACATCCACGTGAGTGGACTGGGTGCCCTCTCTGCTCCTCCCCAGGGAGCCGGGCACCGTGGCTTGGCCAGGGCGAGGAGGTCAGGACAGCCTGCCCTTCAGCCCCCCGGAGTGGTAGCGGTGGGGTCAGTGCCAGGGCCCCAGTGAGGCAGCTCAGGGCAGCATGTGGTGAGGGTGCCTCTGCCCTGGGGTGGGGCCCCCATAGCCTGTGTGACTCTGGTTGTCGCCATCCCCACAGCTGACCATGAACGACTTCAGTGTGCACCGCATCATCGGGCGAGGGGGCTTTGGCGAGGTCTACGGGTGCCGGAAGGCTGACACAGGAAAGATGTGAGCTCCTGCTCAGCCAGATTTGGGTGGGAGGCTTGAGGGAGAGGAAGGCCCCAAGGGTGCCCTGCAGCCATGGGGCGGCCACGAAGAGCTGCGAGAGGCATCCGTGCTGGCACTGGGGGCCTGGGAGCCGGGTAGCAGGGCCCTGAATGGGCAGGTCTCTTCAAAGGGCCACCTGCTGTTCCCTCCATGGCTCCTGAGAGCCCCCAGAGTCCCTGGCCCACCAGCACTTTCTCCCGCCCTGTCTGTCTCTGCTTCTCTGATGTGTCATATGCTTGTCGCGGTGTCGGGTCTTCCCCACAAGAGCCTGACTGTCCCCTGCCCTGCCCTGAAGGTGTATGTGGGCTGACTGACCCAGCAGCCCCTTCCCCCAGGTATGCCATGAAGTGTCTGGACAAGAAGCGCATCAAGATGAAGCAGGGGGAGACCCTGGCCCTGAATGAGCGCATCATGCTCTCCCTCGTCAGCACTGGGGTGAGCCGGGGGGACGGGCTGGCCACGAGCGGCCCTGGGTTCTGGAACCTCTGCTGACCTTCCCCTCCTGTCTGCTCCTAGGACTGCCCGTTCATTGTCTGCATGTCATACGCATTTCACACACCGGACAAGCTCAGCTTCATCCTTGATCTCATGAACGGTGAGTGCGTGGCCCAGCCCCGGGTGGATCTCGGGCTGGCGGCTGGGTCAGAGAGCTGAGCAGCATCCTCGGGGCTACCTCCCTTAGGCGGGGACCTGCACTACCACCTGTCCCAGCACGGGGTCTTCTCCGAGGCCGACATGCGCTTCTATGCAGCCGAGATCATCCTGGGCCTGGAACACATGCACAACCGCTTTGTCGTCTATCGGGACCTGAAGGTGAGGCGTCACTGGGGATCCTCCCCCTCTCAGCACACCTGGCCCCCTGGCTTGTCTCCTCATCTCCTCCCTCCCACTAAGCCATTTTCTGGGTTCAGGTGGTGAAGGGTGGGGCTGGGGCCTTGTCTGCAAATACCCAACGTCTCTGGAGCAGACAGCGACCCAACTGGCATCCTGCCTGGCCGGGTCCTGTCCTGAGCCGCCCTGTAGGCTGTTCTCTGGGCTTCCTCCACAGCCCGCCAATATCCTGTTGGATGAGCATGGCCACGTGCGCATCTCCGACCTGGGCCTGGCCTGTGACTTCTCCAAGAAGAAGCCCCACGCCAGTGTGTGAGTGTCCAGCCCCCCACTCTCCCTTCCTGGGCCCTCTGCCAAGCCCTCTCACAGCTTCCTTGCCTCCACAGGGGCACCCACGGGTACATGGCCCCCGAGGTTCTGCAGAAGGGTGTGGCCTATGACAGCAGTGCCGACTGGTTCTCCCTGGGCTGCATGCTCTTCAAATTGCTGAGGGGGTGAGTGGGTACCCCAGGCCGGGTGGAGGGGCAGACAGGACAGAGAAAAGCTCTAACCCTGTCCAGGTAGGAAGCTGGAGGAGGGGAGCCCACTACTGCCTGGGCGTTAGAGGCAGCACCATCCCTGGTTTTAGACAAGGATCATTCCCGCTGCCTGCCTCAGTTTCCCCATTCCTGTCCTCTAACCTTGAACTTTGGCCTCTCCTACCCAGGCATAGCCCCTTCCGGCAGCACAAGACCAAAGATAAGCATGAGATTGATCGCATGACACTGACCATGGTGAGTGTAGGGAGCCTGGGTGGAGTCCCCCAGGGGCCACAGTAGAGCTGGGTCCCCTGTGGGTGTCACAGTCACATACTCCTGGTTGTCACCAACCAGTGATGATTTCAGGCTGCTCATCCCCACTCTGGCCTCCTGCCCCATTAGGTGCCCCGCTCCCTCTGTTGACAGAGCAAACATGCTTGCTGGGGGTGACTCAGGGTGCTGGGCCCTGGCTCTCCAGGTACTGGGGACCTGGACCCCCACCCCTGCCTGCCGGCCCCTTTCTTGGCCCTGCCAATGTCCTGCCCCTCCTCCCTGTAGGCTGTGGAGCTGCCCGACTCCTTCTCTCCCGACCTCCGCTCCCTGTTGGAGGGGCTGCTGCAGCGGGATGTCAACCGGAGGCTGGGCTGCCTGGGCCGAGGGTGAGTGCCCGGGACCAGGGCCGCTGTCCCAGCCTTCCCTGCCAGGCCCTGAGCACTCGGGCATGCTGCGGGGTCCAGGCATCTACAGTGGGCTGCTGGGCCGCCCCCAAGGATGAGCGCTGTGTCATGTCGCTGAATGGAACGCCCGCCATGGTCCCAGCCTCCTTGGGGGAGCTCACAGATTGGGGTGCTGCCAGCTCCTTCCAGTGTTCTCACGGTGCAGGGCTGCCTGGGGGTGCAGTGGCTGGAGCCGGCTGGGGCCCAGCTTCCAGAGGGGCCCCTGTTACAGAGATGGCGATGATGACAGCAGCATTTTGTGTTCATTAAGCATTTACTTAAGTGTCAGGCGTGATGTTGCAAGATTTGTAAATATTAAAACTCACAGGAGCCCTATGATGTGGGAACTGCTATTCTCCCCATTTTAGAGAAGAGGAAACAGACTCAGGTTTAGGGAACTTGCCTAAGGTCAGAGAACCAGAGAGTAGCTGAACCAGGAGTCAGCCTGCACCACCTGTCCCATGGCCCGGACTTAGCCCCCTGGCCCAGACCACGTGCATCTCCACAGGGCCCAGGAGGTGAAGGAAAGCCCCTTCTTCCACTCCCTGGACTGGCAAATGGTCTTCTTGCAGAAGGTAACAGCCTGGGGTGGGGCCAGGCAGCGCCCTGTAGCCCCTGCCCGGTGCTGATGCCAGGCCTGTTCTGCTGCAGTACCCTCCCCCACTGATCCCCCCGCGAGGGGAGGTGAATGCGGCCGACGCCTTCGACATTGGGTCCTTTGATGAGGAGGACACAAAAGGAATCAAGGTACTGGGCTTCGCCTGGCCTCTCACACCTGAACCCAGCCCAGGTGGTATCCATGTCGCTTCCCTGCCCTTGCTAGATTCTGCGCCTGCTGGCTGTCAGCTGCTGGGTCTCAGGCTCTTAACTCTCCAGACATCCCTGGGGGTGGCCGTTGGACCAGGCTGCTCTGCCTGGGGGCCCGTGGCTAATGGATGTCCCTGCCCTGTGTGCATGATGAAGTTACTGGACAGCGACCAGGAGCTCTACCGAAACTTTCCCCTCACCATCTCGGAGCGGTGGCAGCAGGAGGTGGCAGAGACGGTCTTCGACACGATCAATGCTGAGACGGACCGGCTGGAGACCCGCAAGAAAACCAAAAACAAGCAGCTGGGCCATGAGGAAGGTGAGGGGTCACAGCTGCCCGCTTTAGAGATGAGCAACAGGGTTGGGTTTCAGAAACCCACCCAAAGTCACGGCCAGAGAGCAGCTGCACCAGGATTCAAGGTCGGGCAGGTCCAGGCCCCGCTGAGTCCACCTGTCTCTCTCTCGCGTCAGACTATGCCCTGGGCAAGGACTGCATCATGCATGGCTACATGGCCAAGATGGGCAACCCCTTCCTGACCCAGTGGCAACGGCGGTACTTCTACCTGTTCCCCAACCGGCTCGAGTGGCGGGGCGAGGGCGAGGCCCCGGTAAGGAGCAGGGCTGGGGTGGAGAACAGAGGGCCCATGGCTGGCCTGGCCACCCCATAGCTCATGGCCCCTGCCCTCCCATGCCCACCCCGCAGCAGAGCCTGCTCACCATGGAGGAGATCCAGTCGGTGGAGGAGACGCAGATCAAGGAGCGCAAGTGCCTCCTTCTCAAGATCCGAGGTGGTAAACAGTTCGTCCTGCAGTGCGACGTGAGTGGGGGCCTGGGGACCGGCGGTGGGTACAGGGTGGCCTTGGCGGCACCCGGCCCCTCCTGACAGACCTGGGTCGGGTCGCAGAGTGACCCCGAGCTGGTGCAGTGGAAGAAGGAGCTGCGCGAGGCCTACCGCGAGGCGCAGCAGCTGGTGCAGCGGGTGCCCAAGATGAAGAACAAGCCACGCTCTCCCGTGGTGGAGCTGAGCAAGGTGCCACTGATCCAGCGTGGCAGCGCCAACGGCCTCTGACCCGCCCCACCCTTCCACCTGCCTTTTATAAACCTCTAATTTATTTTGTCGAATTTTTATTATTTGTTTTCCCGCAAAGCGGAAAAGGTTTTATTTTGTAATTATTGTGATTCCCTGTGGCCCCAGCCTGGCCCAGCCCCCAGCGGGGCCTGCTTGCCTCGGCTCCTGCTGCCGCCAACCCGGCTACTGTCCAGCTCCCCCCAGCCCTAAACCCTGGGGCCTCCTGCTCCCAGTGTCTTCCTGTGGGGGCGGGAGGCAGCCCCAGGCAGCCCTGCCTGTCCTTACCCGGGGATGATACTGCAGAGTTGTGCCACCTCTGGCTCTGCTCTGTGCCCTCTGCACAGCTGGGTGGCCCAGCACCCTGCAGCCCATGGGAGACCGCAGCACCGGGAAACTACAGGACTTTACCCGCTGTGGCCCCTCCTGTGACAGGGACGCAGCCCCACACTGTCCTGCCTCCAGCCAGTCGGTGGAGGGGCCCATTGTCTCCCGGCCCCCAGGGCCCCCCGGGCTGGCGGGCTCCTGCCCCCTGGCTCCAGGAGAGCCACCGGCTGCCAGCCCTCCTGTGTTCCTGGGCACTTGGGCTCGGCCAGGAGGGCAGCGTGGCAGTGGGTGCTGCTGCCCTCACTGCAGACCTTCCCCACCAGGCGCTGGGCTCAGGGACCACAGAAAGGCAACTGCGGGTCCTGCCACACTGGCCCAGCCTTGCCCCAAGGTCACCCTGCTCCTGGGCTGGGCAAGGCCTCACCTGCCCGGGACCACTAGGGGCCAGCCTGGCCTGGCTTGGCTGGGCAGCACAGTGAGGGGCAGGTGGGCCAGCCCTCGCCACCCTAGGCCAGTGTGCCCAGGCGGGCCAGCCCCATGGCCCCATGCCCCGTCAGTGCCACCACCCACAGGGCGCCACCTTGCCCACCGCATGCCCCCTCGTGCCTGTCACGCTGCCGTGTGTGGTCTTGCCCTGTCCCCCTGGGGCTGGGTCGGCACGCCCTTTCTGCCCATCTACTCACTCCCCAGGGCGTTTCTTTGCCGATTTTTGAATGTGATTTTAGAGTGGAAAATGAGACTATGAGTTTTTATAAAAAATGGTGCCTGACTCCTGGACTGTGTTGGACTCTTTTGTGCCCGATGACCATTCTCAGCCGCCACTGGGCTGGGGCCTGAGGGGAGAGGGTCTTGGTGGCACCGGGTCCCCTCTACTGCCACAGCAGGCATCCAGGGCCGGCCTGCCCAGGCCCAAGCCCTCCTCTGGGGTGGGGCAGGGGGCTCCACCACCCCTCTCCCACTGCCACCTGGTCCTTCACTGTGGAGAGGCAAGAGGGTCTTCTGCCCACCACCCAGAGAAGCAGGAGGAGGTGCCTGCAGTTGGGCACTTGGCGTCATGTTTGAACTGACTGAACACTTTGGCTTGCCTGGCACCATGCTGAGGACACCCCTAAGGGCAGTCAGACAAGTACTTTTGCCCTCAGGGCCACATGGCAACCTCTGGGTACTTGGCCCTCTCTGGCTTTGGCCTCCCCTCTGGCCTCCCTGTGCAGCTCGCAGTAGGAGTCCCTGAGGCCTATGGGATCCCCCAGCAACAGGCCTCTCATCTACTGATGAGGCTCTGGTCCACTTCCTTCCTGCACACCCTTCCCTACAGGCTCTGTGGGTGATGTCCACTGCTGCCAACCCCTCATAGGGCTTTGCTGGGCAGGGCTGAGGGGGTCAGCTGGAGCATGGCAAGCAGAGAAGGCAAGCTTCTAACAGTGGGATGCTCTGCACATAGAGGCTAAGAAGTTGGAGGAAAAGACATTTGAACTGAACCTTCAGCCCTGGGGTGGGATGCAGAGGATGTTCTTGATACAGGGAAGGGCCAGGTGGTCAGGAGCAGCTCAGGCTGGTGGAAACAGTGGGAGGGACCCAGGTCTGGGAGGCCCTGAATGCCAGTCTAAATTTGGCCCAGAGCCCAGAGGGGACTTAGTGACTACAGAATGAAGATGGGAATGGATGTGGGGTCTGAACTTGGATATGCTCTGGGTGGTCCTGGAGGGTTCTGGACAGGGCTGGGTGACGAGAGCTGCCTATAGAACAAGTTGCAAATTTTCACAAGTAGGATGTGTGGAGGGAGGAAAAGGAGCAGAGGCAGGGAGACCGGTGAGGGACCACTGCCATTCAAGAGATGACCAGTGGTGGTGGTGGTGGTCGAGGAAGAGATACAAAGAGAGGCCCGAGGGAGGAACACCAGGGATTAGAGGTGGGATTCACAACAGCCCCCCAGAGGGCAGCAGTTCTGCTCAGATTCACAACAGCCATGGACATAGCTGGCCTGAGGGGAAGAGGTGAATGTGGCCAGATCTGGTCTTGGACATGCTGATGGGATAGCATGGGACACTGGGCACCTAGAGATGTCCCAGATAGAGCTGAAATGCAGTCCTGGAGGTGCCATCAGGGTGACTATGGAAACAGGCATTCAGCCAAGAAGCCCAATTTGGGGAAGGGGGAGGGAGCAAATGGGCCATGGAGAAGGGTTGAGAAAGCAATGGAATTAGGAATCAAGGGCCAGTGAGGAGCTGTGCTCAAGACTGCAGAAACCAGGAGAGGCTGGGCCTGAGAAAGTCCTGTTAAGATTTGGGTTGAGGAGGTCTTGGGCTATAGGAAAGCCCCTTTTTAAGAAAGGTGTTGGCTAACCAGGGCTGCAGCTGTGGCAGCCGGCAGGGCCTGGTTGTAGAGTTCCAAACATTCAGAGGCTTCTGAGCTGCTACAGACCTGAAGACATTACAATGATTGGATGACAACACAGGGTGGGGTGGCAAAGTGATCCCAGATAGCACAAGAGCCCCCTGGCCACAATGAGAGAGCAGGGTGAAAATGGCGACTAGGGCCTCCCAGCCCAGAGACCAGCTCAAACTTCTAGATCAAACTATCCAGTCATTTTACAAATAGGGAGCACAGACCAGAGGGTCAGCCTTGACCAGCCTGGCAGCTGCCCATCCAACAAAACCCGGACCAGACTCCAGGCTAAGGCTAGGGTGATAAGGCCGGAGGGCGCCACGCTGAGGCCTGCACCGTGTTCCGGGGTGTGTGGTGTGGCCAGCCCTGATTTCGAAACTCCTTACACTCCTAACACTGGCAGCAAAGTGCAGCCTCTTCAAAGGGGATCCCAGCAGTGTGCAAAGGCAGCCATTTACGGTGGACAGTCCTCCACCAGGAAAGGTCTGGCTCCAGCCAGGCCTGCCACTCCCACTCCCCGGTACTCCCACCCCTGACTTAGTGCCCTGGGGAGCCGCTTTCCTGCGTGGCAAGGCCCAGCCCATGGCGTGGCGACTAGCAGACACTGGCCCAGGACCCTTGGGGTAGGTGCTTTATGCTAAGCTGGCCAGGATTTAGGGGTGTCTCGGAGGTGATGTGGAGGGGAGCCAGGACCTCCCACCTCACGCTCACTGACGGGCACAGTTGGTACCCGCGGCGCCCAGGGTAGAGAGACCTAGGCTGGGGCGGGTAGCTGTCGGGGGAGTTGTAGGTAATCCGCCGGCTGACGGCCAGGGGCCCGTAGGTGCGCGCGCAAGCCCCGGGGGCCCAGGCCCCGCCCCTGGCCAGCCCCCGCCCCTGGCCAGCCCACCCCGCCTCCGCACCCCCTCCTTCGCCTTCCGGACCACAAGGAGGTGTCTGCGCTGGGCCAGGGGCGCCCCCTGCAGGCCGAGGGCGGGCCTGCGGTGAGGCCCCGCCCCCGGACCGCCCCCCGCAGACCCTTGCCAGGCGGAGGCCGGGGCGCAGAACCGGGTCCTGGCTTTACTATCGGCGCGCGTGGTTGCCATGGCCGCTGGGCAACGCCTCTGCTGTCCGGGTCGCGCGCGGGCCCGGCTGCGGTTGCTATGGCCGCGGGAGGGGAAGAGGCGCACAGCCCGACGCCCCGCCCCGCCCGGCGCAGCCCCGCCTGCCCGCCCGCGCATTCCGCCCTCCCAGCCGTCTGCGCCGCCGCTGCTCTTGCCACTGCCGCGGGGACGCAGGGCTGCGGTGGGCGCAGCTGAGGCGGGGCGCGGACCGGAGGCGAGTGGCCCGCTCCAGGCCGGAAACCCAGGTGGGGCCGGGCCGCCTCCGTCGCGCCCCCCCTCCCTCCCGGGATGCGGCGCTGAGGCCCAGCATGGCCGGCCCGGGCCCCACCTTCCCGCTGCACCGGCTGGTCTGGGCGAACCGGCACCGCGAACTGGAGGCCGCACTGCACAGCCGCCAGGTGAGGCCTGCCGAGCACCTGGGCTGCCCTTCGTGCCTCCTACTCAAAGCTGTGGGCTACCCCTCCCCGTCCCGATCAGAAGCCCAGGTTGCTTGTTTCTCGCTCAGGATCCTCTGGCCTCGGCTCGTAGCGCTGGGCCTTGCCCTGCGGGTCTCTCCACTTCACAGTGCATCCACCCCTGAGCCAGACTGAGAACAGGCAGCCAGGTCCTGGTCCCCAGGCCGGTCCAAACTCTTGACATCCTGCAACTGCACCTCTGCCTAACCAGGCCCCAGCAGCAGCCAGCCTCTGCCCCTGGGAGAGGGCTGGAGAAGTGGGCAGGCCCTTCCCACACGCCCCCTCCCTTCCCCTACCAGGCCTCACAGGCCATCCTCTGCCATTTCCGTGGCCTGTCTCCCGTCTTTATTTCTCACAGTGACTCCCAACCCTGTTCAGCGCAGTGGCCTTCTTGCCTCAGTCTGTCCTTACTTGCTCTGTGCTGAGTGTCCCGTCTCCCCCAGCACGACATTGAACAGGAGGATCCACGGGGGCGCACCCCCCTGGAACTGGCCGTGTCCCTGGGGAACCTGGAGTCCGTTAGAGTCCTGCTTCGACACAATGCCAATGTGGGCAAAGAGAGCTGCCAGGGCTGGGCAGGTACTGCAGAGGCAAGGGGGCTCCCCTGAGGCTGGTGGTGGGGTGGGTGGGGTTGGTGCATGGAAGTGAGCAGCCAGACTGGGGGCCATGGAGAGAGCTTGCCTCAGGCAGCCCGGTGCCCCCAGTCCTGCAGGAGGCCGTCAGCACTGGGGACCCTGAGATGGTGCAGCTGGTGCTCCAGTATCGGGACTACCAGAGGGCCACACAGAGGCTGGCTGGAATTCCGGAACTGCTCAACAAGCTCCGCCAGGTACAGCAGGGCAGGGAGGTAGAGCCAGTGAGGGGGTGGGGTGCATGGCAGGGGACATGACAGGCTATGTGGGGGTCACTCTGGTCGCCCACAGCAGACCTGGGAAGGCACCAGCCTGTGCCTCAGGCCTTCTGGGCACTGTCAGCGAGGTCCCTCTCTCTTGACCCCAGCACACGATCACATAGGAAAGAGAGGAGTTCGGGTCCACATGGGTGGAGGAAAGCCTTTGCCAGCATTGAGGGTTCCCTAGTGCCAGAAATCTCAGCAGAGCTTTAGACATGGACCTCCTGGTGAATGCGGATTTCCCGGCAGGAGGATTTTGTCCAGCTCAGTGGATATGGCCCAGGCCTCTGGAATACCTATCTCCCCTTCTCAAAGCACACGGTGGGAGTACCTGGCTGGGCGAGCACACTACCTCATGCCTCCCCACTCCACGGGCCGGCCCACGGGGGTCTTTGGGCTTCCTGTACGGATGAGGACCCCGGGAACCAGAGCGGGTAGAAGTGCCTCCGGAATCCCTTAGCCCCCAGGCCTCCAGATGTTACAGCCTTATCATTGGAAGACCTTTTTAGGGCCCCACTTGGCCCACCCCTTTGGGTGGGATTTGGTTGGAGTGGGGTATAGCTGGTCCTTACAGCACATCAGGACTTGCTGAAGGGCTGGGCTCCCAGAAGGGGTGCTGTAGACTCTAGGCAAGGAGCTCCCCAGGCCTGCTAGCCTCCAGCACCATGCAGGGCTCTGACAGGTGCTCTGGTCCATCTCAGGCCCCTGATTTCTACGTGGAGATGAAGTGGGAGTTCACCAGCTGGGGTGAGTGGGGACCTCTTGGCTTCCAGGGAGCTGGGGTGGGGTCATTGGGAAGACCTGGTGACCTCCGTGCCCCCTGCAGTGCCCCTTGTGTCCAAGATGTGTCCGAGTGACGTGTATCGGGTATGGAAGCGGGGTGAGAGCCTCCGGGTGGACACCAGTCTCCTGGGCTTTGAGCATATGACCTGGCAGCGTGGCCGGAGAAGCTTCATCTTCAGGGGCCAGGGTGAGCTCTGGGGGACTCACTGTGGGCATGCAGCAGGCCAGGGCCCCCGGATTCCCCTGTGGCTTATAAGGGAGATGCTGTCCTTTGTCTCCACTCTCCAGATGTGGAAACAGGGTGGGGATGGAGGGGACCCCTACTTAGCAGCAGGTGGCCAAGGGCACTGTGGTGGGCCCCTTCCTGCTGTTTGGGGCCTAGCACTAATTTGCCCCCGTCATACACTGCTGCTGGCTGGCAGAGGCAGGAGCCTTGGTGATGGAAGTGGACCACGACCGGCAGGTGGTGCACACAGAGACACTGGGGCTCACCCTGCAGGAACCAGCAGCACTGCTTGCTGCCATGCGGCCCAGTGAGGAGCATGTGGCCAGTCGCCTCACCTCTCCTATTGTCTCCACCCACCTGGACACTCGTAATGTGGCTTTTGAGAGGTTAGTTGGAGCCTGGTCTCACCATGGTGTGTGTGCCCTTGAGGCTGCTGGTTCAGGCCTCTGAGGCCAAGCTGCTCAGAGGCTGCTCAGATCTGGGAGGGGGTCCCTGCAGACCTGTGTCTCACCCAAGCCACCTCCGAGTCCCCACATACCTATCTGTCCTGGCAGCTGTCTTCCTGGGGAGGAGCCTAGGCCAGGGTATCCCAGTTTCTTGACTTCTGATGTCACACATTTTCCTATAAAAATGAAGATTTAGACTGTGGTTCAGGACAACTGTTTGCACTCATGTTGGCTTCTCAGTAGTACCGCTGCTTCTGGGCCAGAGTCCTTTATGAGTAGCCCAGGAACCTGCCCCCTCTGGCCAGAGTGTTATTTCTCTGACAACACATGCCCCAGTTCCATAGCAGATTTCAGAAACACTTAAAAAAAAAAAAACCCAGCTCTATTGAGAAATAATTTCATATACCATACAGTCCACCTATTTAAAGTGTACCATTCCATGTTTTTTAGTATGTTCACAGATACACAACCACCACCACTGTCCATTTTAGGACATTTTCATCACTTCAAAAAGAAATCCTCTAAGTCAACTCCCATCCCCTCATCCCTCCCCCAGCCCTGGGCAACCACTGATCTACTGTCTCTCTCTGTAGATTTCCCTATTCTGGACATTTCACATAAATGGAATCATAGTACGTGGTCTTTTGTGGCTGGCGTCTTTCACTTAGCATAACATTTTTAAGGTTCGTCCAGGTTACAGTATATAACTACTTAACTCCTTTTGATGGCCAGATCCATTGTGTGAATAGACCACATTTTGTTTATTCATTCGCCCATTACAGACATCAGGATTGTTTCCACCTTTTGACTATTATGAATAATGCTGCTATAAACACTAGTGCACAAGTTTTTGTGTGGGCATAGTTCTCATTTCTCTCGGGCCTATCCCTCAGAGTGGAATTGCTGGGTCAGGTGGTAACTGGACATTTAATTGTTTGAAGAACTGCCAGACTGTTTACCAAAGCAGCTGCCGCACTCTCCATTCTTGTCAGCAGTGTCTGAGGATTCTCATTTCTCCACATCCTCTCCAACACTTACTGTTCACTTCTTTCTTTCTTTTTGGGGTGTAAGCATCTTAGCAGTTGTGAAGTGGTATCTCATTGTGGTTTTGATTTGCATTTCCTTAGTGACTAATAATGTTGAGCATCTTTTCATGTGCTTATTGGCCATTTGTATATCCTCTCTGGAAAAGTGTTTATGCTGATCCTTTGCCCATTTAAAAAAACTAGGTTATCTTTTTATTATTGAGCTGTAAAGGTCCTTTATATATTCCAGATGTAAGTTCTTTATCAGATACATGATTTGCATGTATTTCCTTCCACTCTGGATTGTTCTTTCACTTTGCTTGGTGGTGTCTTTTGAAGCAAACAAGTTTTTAATTTTCATGAAGTCTAATATATTTTTTTCTTTTGTTGCTTGTGCATTTAGTGTCATATCTAACAATACTTTGCAAATCCAAAGCCATGAAGATTTTCTCCTGAAAGTTTTATAATTTTAGCTATTTCATTTAGCCTTTGACCCATTTTGGGTTAATATTTGTATATTGTGGGAGGTAGGGGGGTCCAACTTTATTCTTTTGCAGGTGACTATCCACTTGTTCTGGCACCATTTGTTAAAAACACTGTTCTCGTCCCACTGAAGAGAACCCTTGTGGAATCAGTTGACCATAGATGTGTGGGTTTATTTCTGGGCTCTCAATTCTGTTCCATCGATTGACATATCTATCTTTGTGCCAGTAACACACTATCTTAATCCCTGTTGCTTTGGTGTAAGTTTTGAAATCGGAAAGTGCGAGTCTTCCAACTTTGTTCTTCTTTCTCAGGATTATTTTGGGTATTCTGGGTCCCTTGCAACTTCTTATGAATCCAGATTCAGCTTGTCAATTTCTATGAAGAAATCAGGTGGGATTCTGTTAGGGTTTGCATTGACTCTATACATCAGTTTGGAGAATATTGTTATCTTAACACTGTTAAGTCTTCTACCATGAATATGGGACTTTTTCCCATTTCTTAGACCTTTAATTTCTTTCAGTGGTGTTTTGTAGTTTTCAGAGTATAAGTTTTATACTTCTTTGGATAAATTCATTCAAAGTATTTTATTCTTTTTGATGGTATTATGAGTGCAATTGTTTTCTTAAGTACATTTTTGGATTGTTCACTGCAAAGCTATAAAAATACAATTGATTTTTGTATATTGATCTTTTTTTTTAATCAAAGTATCATTGATATACAATGTTATAGTGGTTTCAAATACACAACACATTGATTCAACATTCACCCATATTATCAAGCCCTCACCCCTTCTAGTGCGGTCAGTGTCTTTCAACGTAGTAAGATGTTTCAGAATAATTAACTGTATTCTCCGTGCTGTATCATGGTCCCCATGACCAACCTATACTGTGATTGTGAATTATTGTGTCCCTTTATCCCCTTGTTCCTCACCTTTGGTAACCACTAGTCCCTTCTCAATGTCTATGAGTCTACTGCTCTTTGGTTCCTTCTGTCTTACTTTGTTTTTATACTCCACAAATAAGTGAAATCATTTGGTATTTGTCTTTCTCCACCTGGCTTATTTCACTGAGCATAATGCTCTCTAGGTCCATCCACGTTTTTGCCAACAGGGGGATTACTTTTCTTTTTATGGCTGAATAATATTCCATTGTATATATGTACCACCTCTTCTTTATCCATTCATCTATTGATGGACACTTAGGTTGCTTCCATATCTTGGCTATTGTAAATAGTGCAGTGATAAACGCAGCAGTGCATGTGTCTTTTCAGATCGGGGATCTTGTTTTCTTTGGGTAAATTCCTAGGAGTGGAATTACTGGGTCAAATGGTATTTCTGTATATTGATCTTATGTCCTGCAAACTTGCTAAACTCATTTTTAAATTTTAATGGATTTTTAGTAGATTCCTTATGATGTTTTCACATGTAAGATCATCTTTTGTTAATAGTGATAGTTTTACTTCATCCTTTCCAATCTGTATGCCTTTTATCTTTTTCATGGCTGATGGCTTTGGCTAGAACCTCCAGGAGAATGTTAAATAGAAGTGACAAGAGTAGACATCTTTGTCCTGTTTCTGACCTTGGGGGAAAAGTATTCGGTCTTTCACCATTAAGTATGATGTTAGTTGTGGGTACCCTTTATCAGATTGAGAAATTTGCCTTCTATTCCTAGTTTGTTGAGTGTTTTTATCATGAAAGGGTTTGGATTTTGTCAAATAACCGTGTTGATACAATCATGTGGCTTTTATTTCTACTATATTGATATGATCTCTTCTGTCCCGAGGGACAGACAGGAGGACTTGGGTCCTGGGCTGATGAGGTTGAGTGTGGGGAACAGGCCGTGAGCCCCCAGCTCCTCCTGTGTCCTCTTTGTTTATTTTGTTGTTGGGTGGAGTGTTCTAAGGCAGTTTGTTAAGTCTGGTTTATGATGTGTTCAGTTCTTCTACTTCCCTGTTGCTCCTGTATCTACTTGTTCTTCCCAGGAGTGGAGTGAGGTACTGATGTCTCCAACTACTTTTGTTGAATCAGACATAACAAAAGTTTGGAGAATATTGTCATCTTAACACCGTTTTAACTTTTTATTATGGAAAATTTCAGACATACACGGCAGAAGAGAGAACAGTATAATGCACTCATTACCCAACTTCAACACTTACCAATATTTTGCCAATCTTGTTAAATCAATCCTTCCTCACCGTTTTTCTTTGTTTTTTTTCTCTAGGCTATTTTAAGTCACATCCCTGATGTCACACCATTTCAACAGTAAATGTGTCTGCACATGACTCTTAACAGATTAGGATGTTTTAAAACCCACCCTGCACACCTAACAAAATCAATGATGATTCCTCGGTACTTTCTAGTGCCCAGTCCTTGTTCCGTTGTCCTCAGCCATCCAGGCATCCTGTTCAAGGCCTGCATGCTTCACAGGAGGAAGGCTAGTTGGAGGGGGTCTTTGGAAGGGAAGGATTTGGCCGGGGTTGGGGGGGTGGGTCCTCATGAGCTCCTGTTTGGTCTGTTTCAGGAACAAATGTGGTATCTGGGGCTGGCGGTCTGAGAAGATGGAAACCGTTAGCGGCTACGAGGCCAAGGCAGGAGGGGCTAGTGGCGGGGGCCGGGGTAGGAGATGAGAGGCCCAGGGACTGTGCTCCTTCTCTACATCCCCTTCATGTGGACGGAGAGACAGAGCGGCCCATGGGCTCTAGAAGCCCTGTGAGCCGTGCCCACTCAGCAGGGCCTGCGCGCCCGGCACCAGCTGAGCGCCCAGGGATCACCTGCTAGCACGGGCCCTGCCCAGGTTCCCGAGGCGAAGCAAGGAGCGTTCTTCCTTCCTTAGTGACTCCCAAGGGTTCAGACCCTGCGACTTCTCCCACTGTGGGGAGTGAGATCTTGTCCGTGGGGACAGGAGGACTTGGGTCCTGTGCTGGTGAGGCTGATAGTGGGGAACAGGCTCTGAGCCCCCAGCTTTCCCTGTGTTCCCCCTGCTCCCCAGGTGTATAGTGCCACCAATGTGGAGCTGGTGACACGCACACGTACGGAGCATCTTTCTGATCAGGACAAGTCGAGGAGCAAAGGTAAACCCAGGTGCGCCTGCCTGCTGCCCAGTCACGCCATGCGGTGGGGTCCCCCTGGTCTGGGACAAGCTGGGAGGCCTCCCCATTCCCATCTGCTCTCCCAACAGAAAACTCCCAGTGGAGGGGGGCATTCTGGGACAGTGGCCCAAAGTCTGCTCATGGGCTCCCACCCCTTCTCCTCAGGGGGGAAGACTCCGTTCCAGTCCTTCCTCGGGATGGCACAGCAGCACTCCTCCCACAGTGGGGTGAGCCGGGGATGGGGGGCGGGGCTGGGGCCCGCTAGGGGGGCTGGCCAGGCAAAGGCTAAGCCTGGCGCTGGGTCCGCCCAGGCTCCCGTGCAGCAGGCAGCCAGCTCCACCAACCCCACAGCTATTTCCCCCAGCGAATACTTCGACCCCAACTTCAGCCTGGAGTCGAGGAACATTGGCCGCCCCATTGAAATGTCCAGCAAAGTACAGAGGTGAGGTCTGGGGACTTCCCTCAGGGACAGGGACCCTACCTGGTCCCCCTAAGCCCTTGCAGACTCCTGTCACACACGGGGCTCCCTCAAGTGGGAACCCACTCACCCAGCCACTTCCTTCCAGACTCCACTCCTTGGGGACAGGAGCCAGGTCTGTGTTATCCATGGCCTTTGGCGCCCAGCTTGGGGATTGGTCCAGAGGACTGGTCACTCTCTGTTGGGGAATGAATGGATGAGTGGATGGATGGATGGGTGGGCAGCACCACCCATGTGTGGTTTTCTATTCAATTTAATAAGCACTTGCTGGGGGCCAGGGGAAGGGCCCACAACTCTACCACCTCCTGCCTTTGTAGCCCAAGGAGAGGTCCCCTCTTGAGGGTCGAGCATCCTCTGTAAATGAGGGCAGTCACAAGGGGGCCGGGAGGCTCTCGTGAGCCATGACTTTGGGCTTATCATGCTTCCGCCGTCTAGGACCTCACTCGGACTCTCAGCCATCCAGGGGTGGAGCTGGGATTCAAACCCCAGCAGGCCTGACCCCTGGGCTGCCCTGGACCCAAAAGTATAGCCAAGTGTGGGGCTCTGGCTGGCTGTGGGCTGAGGAGGAGGGTGCCATGACAGGTCCAGATGGAAGCCAGTCGCCTTGCCCCGGCCTATGCATCCAGATGAGTTGAACTGGCAGAAACCACCATAGGCCCCAGCCTGGACCCAGGGACTGAGGCAGCTTGGGCCAGAAGGCCAGAAGGACACAAGCTCCTTGGGAGGCAGGCAGGGACAGCTGAACAGAGAAGAGGGTCCCCAGGCCAGGTGGAGGGCATGAGTAAAGGCAGGTGTCCAGAGCAGGTGGCCCTCAGCAGAGGAGCCACCAGAGGTTCCTTGTCCCACACCCTGTGGCCGGCTGGGCAGGTTCAAGGCAACACTGTGGCTGAGTGAGGAGCATCCCCTCTCCCTGGGTGACCAGGTGACACCCATCATTGACCTGATGGCCATCAGCAACGCTCACTTTGCCAAGCTGCGTGACTTCATTACCCTACGCCTCCCGCCTGGCTTCCCAGTCAAGATCGGTGAGAGGGTGGGCTGGGGCAGTGGAAGGGAGTCGGGTGGATGTGGGCTGCAGGGGCCGGGCACAGGCGGACCTCCAGCCAGGGCAGCTCATGCGTGGCTGTCTCCTCAGAGATCCCTCTTTTCCACGTGCTAAACGCCCGCATCACCTTCAGCAACCTGTGTGGCTGTGACGAGCCCTTGAGCTCCGTGTGGGTACCGGCCCCCAGCTCTGGCCCTGCTGTCACAGCCTCAGGTACCAGTGCGGGAGGGAGGTCTCTGAGTACCAGTCTTGCTGGTCTCTGAGCACTGGGCTGAACGTGGCCCCTCTGCCACATCCAGGGAGCCCTTTCCCGTGCGAGGTGGACCCCACTGTGTTTGAGGTGCCTGAGGGATACAGTGTGCTGGGCACAGAGCGCAGTGAGCCCCTTCGCGATGAAGATGACGATCTGCTGCAGTTTGCCATCCAACAGAGCCTGCTTGAGGCTGGCACAGAGGCGGAGCAGGTGGGGTGCGGGCAGGGGCTGGGCCCTGGGTGTGGATGGGACCAGCAGAGGTGACAGCGCTGGGCCCTGACTGCTGCAGGTGACCATCTGGGAAGCCCTGACCAACACCCGGCCTGGCACCCACCCTCCTCCCCAAGCCACGGCCTATGAGGAGCAGCTTCAGCTGGAGCGGTGAGGCCTCTCTGACCCACTAGGTCCATGTCTTGGCCCTGCCCTGCCTCAAGGATCCTGACAGTCAGAGGCTCCTTGGTTGGTGGGGGTAGGTAGCAGGGAGGTGCTGGTCCCAGGACCTCATGCCCTCCTCGGGGCTACCCTCCTATCAGCAACACTGCCCATCCCTGAATCTGCCTGAGGGATGGGGAGGCAGCCCCGCCTTGTCTCTTCTTTCTGGGGTCCCACGTCCCAGCCACCCTGTCCTGCCTTCCGTAGCCATGTCCCACCCCTTGGCCTCTTCCCTGAGCTTTGGCACTCACCGATCCGCTCTCGCCTCCCGTGCCTTGCCTGGAAGGGCCCTCCAGGAGAGCCTGCGGACGTCCTCGGAGCCCAGGGGCCCGGGATCCCCTCATAGGACACCCCTGGCCCCAGCCCCCCCAAGCTTTGAGGAGCAGCTGCGCCTGGCCCTGGAGTTGTCTTCGCGGGAGCAGGAGGAACGCGAGCGGCGGGGGCAGCAGGAGGAGGACGACTTGCAGAGGGTCCTGCGGCTCTCGCTCACGGAGCACTGAGAGTGGCCCCGGGCCCCAGGGGGCCGTCTGGTCTGGGCCCCCACCTGTTTTGTAACTTATTTATTACAAACTCTCTGCTGCTGAGCTTGGGGCCTGGAGCCCTGGGGGTGGGCTTGCACTGGAGACCAAAATGGAAATAAAGAGACTTTGAGCAGCAGGCTTGCTCTGCTCAATGTGGGGATGCACGGGGGGGGGGGCGGGCACTGAGGGGAGACACCATGAACAGTGGCTTCAGACCTGGGTTTGAATCCTTCCCACAGCTGTAAAACGAGACCACCTTCCACCCCGCAGAGCTGTTGGGTGGGTAAAATGAGCTGGCGCATGTCAACAGAGTAGTTACTCCATACATGTCAACTCTCCTGAGCCTTGACTTGCCCCGCCTCCTGGAGATCCAGGTTCCTGCCGCCACCCAGTGAGGCTTTCCTGGGACCCACCCATGTTCCTGTTGGAAGGGGGAAGGGCCTGAGCCTCTAGACTGCTCACAGCTAGCTGGGAGGATCCCCCCTGCATCCCAGGCCTGAGTTCCTGCCCTGACCGCCAGTATGTTCTACTGGAGTGACTTTGGACAACTCACGTGCTTCTGTGCAGCTGTGACCTGCCCTGCTCACCCCCAGGGTGGCCTCGAGGATTGCCTGTGAGACTCTTGGGTTAGCTTGAAATCCCACCTCATTTCTCCTGTTCTGCGTCTCATGATTCGTGCAGAGTGCAAACATGAGGGCCAACCAGCAAGGAAAAATAAGTTTGGGGTGCTCCTCTACCTAAGACCCACTGTATGTGATCCTCTCCAAGGCCTGTGTCCCCAGTCCTGCCTTCCTAGGCCCCATCTCTTCTGAGGAACAGTGGAGGCCCAGAGCACAGCTCAGGTGACCAGCCTGGGTGGGGCCGGGAGCGCCTCCTAGGAGGTGGGACCGAACCCCGGAACGAAGGCAGCTGGCTGCCGGACCTCAGGCCACTTCCCACTGGGTCTTGGCCTCGCACCTGCGCCCCGCCCAGACTCCGCCCCCCAACGTATTTGTGGGGCGGGGGCGAGGCAGGCCGAACCCGCGGAGACGCGAAGGGAGGGGCGGCGGCCGCTGGGTGCCGGCTCCGCAGGCCGGGCCGGACGGGAGTCTGGCCCTTTAAGGGCCACCCCCGAGGAGGTGCCAGGCCCTGGTGGCTCCGGTCTCTCCTTCCTGGTCCTGCGGGGCTGGGACTGTCCGTGGGGCCGTGGGAGGGCTCAGGTGCCCCCTGCCTGGCCCCATGGCCCTGGTCACCGTAAGCCGCTCGCCCCCGGCCAGTGGCCACTCCACGCCTGTGGGGCCCACGGTGAGTGTGGCTTTGCCGTGGTCCTGCCCACGCAGTTGGCCGCCAGCTGGGCCTGGGGGAGCGCGACCTGCCCACGGCAACCTCCCCTCAATCATAGGGATGTGCGTAAGGGGAACCCGAATCTCAGACTGGAGAGGGTTGGTGGGAGTAGGGAAAGGTGGGGCGTAAACTTGAGGCTCCCAGGAACTCGGAGCCAGGCAAGATCCGGAGCCCTGAGCGCCTGCCCAGCCTGCTGAGGCCCTACGCTCTTCCCGGCTCAGATAGGGGCCAACCCGTAGGATACCTCAGGCACCCCCCCCCCATCCTTACCCAGCGTTGCCACGCGCCCCCAGCGCCTCCAGGTGATGGGCTGGGTGGGATGGGATCTGACACCTTTTCTGGTTCCACTCTCCACTGGGGGGGTGATCCCCACCCCCCTACTTCAGTAGCACTGAGAGAGTGGAGCGGAGAGCCCTCCCACCTCACACTGCCCTGGGGCTGCTTTCCCAGCAGGACCAGGTGTCCAAGCGGAGAAGCTGGCTCCAGCGAAGGTGAGCACCTCCCCCCAGCACTGGTGCCTGCATCCAGGTGCCAGGCCTGGCCACTGCCATACAGGACCAAAGCCACCCACTGGATGTGGCCACTGAGTAACCACAGCTGGGGGGTATGGCCGGCTTGCAGCACCGGCCTGGCTGCCTTTGCTTTCACCTTCCTCCTGGTCAGTTGGGGCCCCATCACCCACTTTCTGGCTCCTGCCCCAGGCCAGGGGTCACAAGAGAAAGAACAGGATGGGATAACAGCCAGAGGACTCCTGGGCCTCACCAAGTTAACAGCATCTCCTGAGTTAGGTAGATGGGGAGGGGAGGGAGGGGGAGGGAGGGACCCCAGCCCCCCTACCCCCAGACCAGAGTGGGGGGGGGGGGGGCTTGGGAGCCCCCAAGGCAGTGGTTCTCAAAGTGTGGTGGCCACACCACCTGGGAACTGGTCAGAAATGCCCGTTTCAGGCCTCCACTCCAGACCTACTGACTCTCTAAGGTTTGGGCCCAACACCTGTTTTAACAAGACCCCAGGTGACTGATGCACCCCTGTCCTAAGGGGTGCAGCTGGCCATGGTGGCTTCCCTGTCACCCTGACAGGCAGAGCTTTGCAGTGCTCCGTGGGGCTGTCCTGGGACTACAGGACAGGGGGGATGATGCAGATGCAGCTGAGGCCAGCCCTGAGCCAGCGGAGGAACCCTCAGGTGACGAGCAGCCCCATGCCGACCATGCAGATGAGGGGCACGGGCTCCGGAGTCCCCAGAAGCAGGAGCAGAGTCAGCACCTGCGCCTCATGGTGGAGCTGCTGAGGCCCCAGGACGACATCCGCCTGGTGAGGGCCCAGCCACCGGCCCAGGGTGCAGGGAGGGGAGCGCAGGCGTCTGCCTGTGAGTGTGATGGCACCCTGGGGAGCAGAGGGGTTGCCTGACCCCCGGTGGTCCTGCTGTTTCAGCCGGGGGCGGGGGTTGTTGTAACAGGGGGAGGCTCATGTTTGCAGGCCTCCCAAGGGCTGGGAAAGGACTGGGAGGTTGGCCCCGTGTGAGCCTGTAGGGCCAAATTAGGTCCAAAGCTGGGAAATACAGAGGCGGGTTTCTGTGCGCAAGCAGCCAAAACCTTCCTGACCATGTGAATTGTCCACAAATGGACATGCACTCGGGGGGAGGGGGCGTGCTGCTGAATTTATTCCATGGAAGCACCTTCCTTCATTGTGAGATTGTGTCTTTAATAATTCTTTGCTGAGAAGCACTTCTTGAGTCAAATTTTGGTAATGGCAAGAGAAAAGGTTTATTTAAACCTCCTTCCTAGCCAGAAAGTAAAAACTGGCAATCTGTGTCAGGCCTGTTCTCCCGTTTTTTCCACACACAGCCCCTTTAAGAAAAATTGTTTGAAATGTTTTGTTGGACCAAGAAATCTAAAAGTTGAACCACTGGATTGTAACCAGTGGTCTGGTATCTGGGAAGAGGGGGAGGTGTATGGAGGGAGCAGTGGCAGGTCTGCCGTCTGCCCGGTGTGTGTCCGGTCACGGGGTGGGTGGAAAGCAGGGTCTTCTGGGCCACTGTGAGCTTGGGCTTCTCCCTCCCTGTCTTCCCCAGGCAGCCCAGCTGGAGACAGCACGGCCCCCCCGGCTCCGCTATTTGCTGGTAGTTTCCACCAGAGACCATCTGAGCCAGGATGAGGCAGTCCTCCTGGGGGTGGACTTCCTTGAAAGCAGGTGGGAGCTGGGGGGATAGGGTAGAGGGCAAGGAAACGAGGTGCTGGGGGTCAGTGGCCTTCCCTTTGTCCCCTGCCAGCTCCCCCAGCTGCACCCTGGGCCTGGTCTTGCCTCTCTGGAGTGACACCCAGGTGTACCTAGATGGAGATGGGTAAGAGGTAGCAACTGGGGGGAGGGGAGAGGAGGGGCCGGGAGGGTGGGATAGCAAAGGATGATCTACATGACAGGGCTTCTCGGCTCTAGGGAGCAGTAGAATTCCAGGCCTGGTGTCTGGGGCCTGAGCCTACCCAGCTCTACCTGAGATAAGCTGTGTGATCCTGGGCAAGTCCCCTAACTCCTCTGGGCCTCGGCCACCCCATATCTGGCAAATGGGGCTTATCTTGAACTCATCTGATAAGTAAGGATTCTCAGGACCAGCCTCGTGAAGTAGCCAGTGGGCAGGCCTCTCTGGGACCCTTTCCTGGAGCCTGGCTTCACCCCCGCCTGGTCTCCCACAGGGGCTTCAGTGTGACTTCTGGAGGACAGAGCCGAATCTTCAAGCCTATCTCCATCCAGACCATGTGGTAGGGGCTAGTGGCTGCAGGGTCTGGGGAGGGGCCGCAGAAAGGACAGCGTGACCCAGCCTTTCCCCTGTCCCAGGGCCACGCTCCAGGTGTTACACCAGGCATGTGAGGCGGCTCTAGGCAGTGGCCTTGTACCAGGAGGCAGTGCCCTCTCCTGGGCCAGCCACTACCAGGACAGACTGAGCTCTGACCAGAGCTGCCTGAATGAGTGGATGGCCATGGCCGACCTGGAGTCTCTGCGGCCTCCCAGCACCGAGCCTGGCAGGTCCGTGCAGGGAGGGAAGGGAAAGGGGTTGCCATGGGGGAGCAGGGAGGGGACTCCTGAGTGGATGGGCTCTGCCCGTAGGCCCTCGGAGCAGGAGCAGATGGAGCAGGCGGTCCGGGCGGAGCTGTGGGACGTGCTGGACACCAGCGACCTGGAGAGCATCACCTCCAAAGAGGTGGGCAGGGCCCTGGGGGGCGGGCAGGGCACGGCCGGGCTCGGGGGTGGGGCCCTCAGCTGGGCCAGGGCTTTCCTCTCGGTGGGGCCTTCCCACTGTGTTTTCCTGCCATCCTGAGCCGTCCCAGGTGCTTGGCCTTGGTGCCCCTGTCCGGATGGGACAGGCACTTTCCTCAGAGGCATTGGAGGGCAGGGGGTGTGCCGGGACCTAGTGAGGGGCTCCCCAAGCCTCTCCTCCTCCTCGGCTCTGCCTGCAGATCCGCCAGGCCCTGGAGCTGCGCCTGGGATGTCCTCTCCAACAGTACCGCGACTTCATTGACAACCAGACGCTGCTGCTCGTGGCCCAGCAAGATCGGGCCTCCCGCATCTTCCCACACCTCTACCTGGTGAGCTGGCAGGGCATGAGGGCTGCTGCGGTGGGGCGTGGGCGTGACGCTCGCTCCCTCTCCACAGGGCTCAGAGTGGAATGCAGCCAACCTGGAGGAGCTGCAGAGAAACAGGTAGGGTTCCAGGCCCCCTCAGGATGGTCTCCCTACCTCTGTTGGTCTTCTCTCAAGGGCACCCCGGTCAGCATCCCCAAGCTCTGCTTCCAGCTCCACCCCTGGGGCTGTTTCCCTGTAGGGTGTTAGGCCGGGGAGAACTGCAGCTGTGGAGGCGGAGGCCTGCTGGGGGCTCCCTGGCCAGCTTCTCCCTCCCCACACTGTAAAGCAGGCACCCGACAGGATGCCTCAGGCACCCAGAGATGAGGGGCAGCCGTGGGCAGCCCGTGACCGCTCCTCAGGGAGAAGGAAGGGCCCCTCTCCTGGGGGTGCTGGCTGCCTGTTCTCATAGATTCCTGTCATTTGTCCACTACGGGCTTCTGGGAAACCTGCTGTGGCCCCTACCATCCAGCGGCTGCAGATCTACCCAGTCCCAGCTTAGCCCAGAAGCTGCTCTTGAACTTGGACTCCTGAGAATAACGGAAGAGTCAGCGCTGCTGCCGACTCAGCAGCTACCTGGGCTAGAGGGGGACCTGAGCCCAGGGCATCCGACTCACTCAGGGTCACATCTCCTCCTACTCCCACCGTGACCGTGCCACCCCCACCTGACTCTCAGAACCAAGAACTAAACAGAGATACCTAGAGCCCCTGGCCAGTGGGCCCAGTGACCCTGGCCTTGTCAGCCTGCCCTTGACCCCTCTGCTACAGGGTCAGCCACATCTTGAACATGGCCCGTGAGATTGACAACTTCTACCCTGAGCGCTTCATCTACCACAATGTTCGCCTCTGGGACGAGGAGTCAGCCCGGCTGCTGCCTCACTGGAAGGAGACACACCGCTTCGTGGAGGCTGCGAGGTGGGGTCCCCCCTGCCCCAGCTTTAAGCGGCCCCAGGCCCTCTTCCTCCCTTGTTCTGCCAGCTCTGGGACTATGTCTGCCCCTTCTCTCCTGTCCCCTCTGCGCTGGGGCCTTTCTGCCCACTGCGGGGCCCTCTGAGCAAGCGGGCAGAGGAGGGGGAAGCTAACCATGTTCTGCCCCCACAGAGCTCAGGGCACGCGGGTGCTAGTTCACTGCAAGATGGGCGTCAGCCGCTCGGCTGCCACAGTGGTGGCTTACGCCATGAAGCAGTATGGCTGGAGCCTGGAGCAGGCTCTGCACCACGTGCAGGAGCTCCGGCCCGTTGCCCGCCCCAACCCTGGCTTCCTGCGCCAGCTGCAGACCTACCAGGGCATCCTGACTGCCAGGCATGGAGTGGGGGACCGGGGATGGGGGGACGATGTGTGTGGGTGCTGGGGGTGGCTGCTGGGCCACTCAAAGCTGACTCAGGGCCACCTCCTCACAGCCGGCAGAGCCACGTCTGGGAGCAGAAAGTGGGCAAGGCCTCCCCAGAAGAGCCCCTGGCCCCTGAGGTTTCTACACCACTCCCACCTCTTCTGCCAGAACTGGGAGGCACTGGGGAGGTGAAGATCATGGGGTTGGCGGAGAGCCAGGCAGCCCCAGCAGAAGGCCCTGGGCCACGGCCCCGCATCAATCTCCGTGGGGTCATGAGGTCCATCAGCCTCCTGGAGCCTTCCTCGGAGATGGAAAGCCCCTTGGAAGCGGGGAACCTGCCGGAGGTGAGGCTGGGGCTGGGGAAAGAGCCCAGCCTGAGGCAGGGTGGGGCCTAAAAGGAGTTGGGAGCAGATGGTGGGAGGATGGAGAGGAAGCAGACCTGATGTTCTGGCCCTGAGCCGGGGGCACCTGAGCATGGGGACCAACCCTGGGCAGCTCCCTTTTGTCCCGGAGGGAGGGCGGGCAAGCACTGCCCCCCATGGATGCTGGGGAGCAGCGGTGGGGCCAGGGGCGTTGCGAGGCTGCTTGACTGAGCCAGCTCCAGGCCAAGGCTGCAGGCAGCTCCCCGCCTGACCGAAGGACTTGCCTCCTGAGGGCAGGGCTGCCCAGCCATGGAGTGAGCGTCCTCCCCAGGCCAGGAGCCGGGCAGCACACCGCTGGCCCTAACCCGGGGTGGATAGGATGATCCCTGCAGCCCATCCCTGATCTGAGGGACAACCCATCAAAGGATGGGGTGCAGAGGGGTCACAGCACTTACACGACCAAGGTAGTGGCTGAGGAGTTGAGCACCTCTCTGTGCCAAGTGCTGTGGGGCACAAGTGTAACACCAGAAGCTGGCCCCTGCCTTAGGAAGCCAGGCCCCCCACGTGACTCAAGGCCAAGATGGCTGGCCTAGAGGAAGGAGAGCTCAAGAGTTCATCTCTTGGTGGGGGGTGGGAACATTTGGGAAGGCTTCCTGGAAGAGGTGGCACTGGGTGTGGAAGGATTGGGAGGAATGGATGGTTGATAGATGTGCGTGGGTGTTCCCAAAGGCAGAGTGTCCTCACTGGACACCCGACTTAGCACTTGGCACCTGGAAGGTGTTTCACCTGTGCTGGCTCACGGGAATGCCTGGGCCCAGGCGGGGGCGGGGGGGCCAAGAGGAGAGGGCCTCAAGGAGGAGGCAGCAGCCGCAGCGCTGAGGAAGGCTTCTGGGAGCAGGAGGAAGAAGGTCAGGGCGGAGGAGCAGGCAGTAGGGTGGGGATGTCATCTCCCCCCGTAGGAAACGTGACCCGTGAGCAGCTCAGCAAACGCTGTGTGTCTGCCCTCTCCCGGGTTCTGGGCTGCGTGCGCCTGCCCTGGAGAGACTCCCTCGCACCCTCTTTCCTGCTGCTTCCTTCCAGGTTTTCTCTTCAAATGAGTCTTCAGAGGAAGACCCTCCCCAGCCCGTCCCTCAGCTCTCAAAGGCCAGTGGTGGCCGGCGGGTCCGCAAGGAGCCCTGGCCTGCCCTGAAGTCCCGCCAGTCTGTGGTGGCCCTCCACAGTGCTGCCCTGGTGGCCAGCCAGACCCGGGCCTTGCAGGAGCAGGGAGAGGCGCGCTGTTCCCCCACCCGCAGGCGGCGGAAGGTGGTGAGGCAGGCCAGTGTGGATGGCAGCGGGGAGGAGGGGGAGGCCTGAGCCTTCACGTGTGCCCGTGCTCCCCTCGGCACAACAGAGACGCCCGAACGCCGTTCTGGGACCGGCACCCCTCACTCCTGTCAGCCCGTCTGCACCCCTCTTCCTCCTTCCCAGGAGGCCCCAGGCCTGGCACCACAGCCTCAGCTCCTACAGCCTCAAGTCTCGCACCCATGCCACCTGTCCAAGGGCTCAAGACTTTTTCTATAACTGGGGATGTGGTGGAGATACTGAAGGTGCCTTGGGGCAGCAGCCCCCTAGCTTCGTTCTCAACCGCTGCCCGGAACGCTGGCAGCCACAGAATAAAAAATAGTTTCCCAGTGTAGAAGGGCTCACATTCCCTCCCTCACCCACTCCTGTCTGCCTCTTCCCTGCCCCCCACTTCATTCAGGGGCCCCCAGAGCCGACAGTAACCTCCATCCTCAGTCCCCAGCGACAGGAGGCTTTCTGCCCCCCTACCCCCCATGCCACTCTCCTGGGTCACAGGGCACCCAGCCAAAGAGTCTTTTTGTTCTTCATGGCCTCTGGCCAGTCAGTTTTTCATAGTCTTAATAGTATCTGGCTTTGTACTTAGAAATAAAAAACATTTCATATTATTTTCAGTTTTATGGTAAAGCCATCTGCCTGTCAGTCGGATCCCTGTCCGGTTACAGGAGGAGTTTGGCCTCTCCTTACCCCTGCCTGTGTCCTCACCATTCTCAGGTGGCTTGTGACAGGTCTGTCTGGGGTGTGGTGTGGTTGGGGTGGGGTGGGAAGAAGAATGGGGAAGAGAAGAGGGGAGGCCAGCGCTATCTTCCTCATCTCGTAGGGCAGGGCCTGAGTAAACGCTAGCTGCCCACGCACCCCTCGGGCAGGGTGGCGGGGAGCAAGTCCCCGCTGGGCAGCAGGTGCTTGGCTCTACTGGGATGGCTGAAGGGAGTTACCCACGAGGAAGTGGAAGCTGCCAATGCCCATCTTGACAGGACCAAGCCTGTTCCAGGTGAGGCTCCACCTGATGCTGGTTCGTGAGCACCCACTGGGTCCCAAGAATCTTCTTCCTGCTACAATGCAAGACAGCCAGATTTTCCAAGCCAGCCCGTGACTGCCAGGAAAGAGGGACCCTCAGGGGGCCTTCTCTTCTGCCTTGGGGTTCCTTTTGCTCAGTTTTAGTGGTTCCATCTTTGTCACTTCTAGCCCCTCTTCCCAAGATCATGTTCCCTTCTCTCTGACACACTACTTTGGTTGGGGTGGGGGTGGATACACCAAAGCAGGCCTCAGAGGTAGGAGCTGGCATCAAATGTCCTCACTAAATTGAGACCTCATGCCTGGTTTGAAGAATCAATCTCTCACCCAGACCCTGGTGGGACCCCCAGCACTACGCTAACTCCAGAGTACAGTTACTTAACCTTGAGTCTCTCTTTCTTTCTGTGCTACAAAGGGATTAGACAAGGAAGTCCCAAGGAACCCCCCTTCACTTTGATATCTTAATAATACATGTCACCTATACATTGATAGAATTTAGCCTCAACATGCTGTCTAGAAGAGGAATCATTTGCACCTGTCTGTGGGTGGCACACCAAGTGTAACAAGGTGGCGTCCTGAGAATCCAGTCTGATTCTTGAGCTACTTGGCTGGTCCACCCTGCTGACTAAATACTGGGGGCTGCCTGCCATCCTGCAGCCAACCCTGAGTCCCAGCCAGACGGCCCCTCCCGTAATCCTAGGCTGGGGCTGCGGGGCAGGTGGGGTGACAAGAGGGTAGCCAAGGCCAGGCCCTGCCCTCTTACAGCCTGTGCAGAACTTTGAGAAATAAGAATTCAGCATGTGCGGAAACAAAACGAAGGGAAGCTGCATCAAAAATGCTGACAAATGATAAGAATTGTATGTATAAACAAAGCTCACACAAATTGCTCCAGGGGCCAGAAACCATTCAAAAAGAAAAGATACAGAATGAAGAATACGTCTCCCTCCGACCTTGTCCTCCAGTCCTTCACAGGCAACCAGTTTCCAGCTGCTTCTGAGTCCCTCCAAAGACATTCCCTACATATGTCATCAAATATATTTGTGTATTTTTTTAAAGTAGAAATTATAGCATGTTAACATATTATTCTGCACTTTGAAATTTCATATCGGAGTTGCACATCAGCACAGAAAACTCTTACTTTTCAAAATAACCACTCATATTCTATTTTATGGAATCCATCATTTATTTAAATGGTCATCTACTAATGAACATTTGTTTATGGAATTTTTTTCCATTCAGGTAATGCTTAAGTACCTTTGTATATACTTCCTTGTGCACACGTGGCCACAAAATCTGTTGGACATATTTCTAGAATTACTGAAGCAAAGACTATGTGTATTTAATTTTTAAAGGCATTCCTTTCAAGAAGTTGCACCAATTCACAACAAATGGGAATGCCTGTTTTTGTCCTTAAAGGACTGTCTAGCCTTACACATCAGTGTCATCCCGAATGAACCTTGCAATACTCCCAGGGGACAAGGGGCAGACAGTTACAAGTACCACTGTTTGAGGAACAAGGAAACCGAGCCCGGAAAAGGAGCTGCGTCTCTAACAGCCTGAATGAGAGTCTAGGTTTCTGGATCTCCGTCAGAGGCCTCACTGGGTAGTGGACAGGGTGGCTCTTCGGCAGTCAACGCACACAGCTCCCGGTTCCGTCCAAGGCGGGCCGGGGAATCCCGAAGCACGGAAACTCCGCCGAGAAGGGTCAGGGCGACCCCTGCTCAGGAACGCCCAGGTCAGCTGCCACGGATCCAGGAGCCTCGGCTCCGACTTGAACGCTTGCGCGGAGAGGAGCCTGAGTCCCTCAGGCGATCCGTTCCTCCAAGGCCAGCTCCCACCTTCCCTAGGTTCTCCCTCCGTCGGGCCCGGCTTGGCCCGGGTTTGGACCGGCCACGAGCTAGGGAGGCCGCTCGTCAGAACACGTTTTCAAACAGCAAAACCGAACACGCCGAAGAGACCGCGCCCCCGTCTTTTCACCCTGCATCCCCGAGCAGCGACTGCCTAGGGAAGCTACACTTCAGGCCTCCGCGGCCGCTCCAGCACCAACAGCGCCCGGAAAGGGCGCCCAGAGGCCGGGCAACAGACGGCTCCAAACCCGCAGCGACGCTCGCGCGCCATCTTGCGTCCATTCCTCTGGCCTCAAGGTAACAGCCCGAAAACCACACTTCCCAGAGTGCATATCGCACCCGCGCAGGCGCAAAGAGCCTCCTCTAGTTTCCATGGAAACCTCGCCTGAGCTAGACTCCGTAGAGCGCGAAGCTCTTGCTACCCCTTCAGGTGCTCTGACAGACACTAGGAAGGGGTCTGTAGACGGTTAAGGGGGCAAAGTACGGGGCCCGAGGGGAGGAGGCTGGGCGGCTCTGCCTCCCGGACCAGCAGCGCCCCCAAATTCTTCTCGGCGTCCGCGCGCTCCTGGGCCCTCAGCGCTGTGAGGCAAAGGGGTCGGGGAGGCCCGAGGTGGCGAGGCCGGTGTCCGGCTCTGGCCCGCTGGGCCTCGCTTGCTCCACTTCAGCGCCTTGTCACCCCGAGCCGAGGGCCTGCGCCGCCGACAGGTACTCCCGGGGCGCGGGCGGGGCGCGGCACCCGTGGGGTGGTTGGCGCCGCAGGTGTACGTGGAGGTAGCGCCGGGCAGGGCAATGAGCGCGCCCGGGGGGGGGGGATCCGCCTCAGCCTTTCTCTGAAGGATCCGGGACCCGGGCTCCCCCCCTTTGGGCTTCAGGGGGGCTTGAGCTGGAATCGTAGCGCACGCGGCGATCCGGTTACACAGCAGCCCTGGCTCTGTGTGACCCGGGGTAAGTTCCTCCCTGAGCCCGTTTCCCTCTCTGTCAGTCCCTGCGGCCCCTCGTGGCGGACGTGGGACCGTCAGCCTCACTGCTCAGCAACTGCGAGAGAAGGAAAGGGGGCTGATGGTTTGAGCAAGGATCTCAGCTCAGGGTCGAAAGTCAGAGAAACTTGGGTGTGCGGCTTTGGGCAAAGTTATTACATCTCTGGAGCCTCAATTTCCCCACTTGCAAAACGGGTTAGTGATAGTGCCACCTCAGGTGTTTGAAGATTTAATGAGATAAATTAGTGCTATTCCCAAGTCCCAGCCATCATTTCTGATAGTTTTAGAAACATTCCTTAGCCACTATGAGACATTTTCCTAATTTTTGGAGTCACTTCCTCTATTTCCGGACAAATCCATTCTCCTAGGCAGGATAGTTTTATAGACTGATTCTGATGGGAAAGCCCGGGTCTTCTCGCCCAAGGCTGGTTCCCCTCCCTTCAGCTGTAGCCTGGGTTATTATATCTTTACCACACGGCCTCTGGGGGGGGCGGTGCAAACCCAACACCACGTAGTGTAGAAGATACTTTCCCGTCCTTAAAATTCACAGAGTATGTGAGCACTTACATGTTGTGATGCAGAAACAGCTGAATATTGAATCATTTCTATAACATAACATTTAAATTAGACTAGATACAGTTATGAGGAATCCATAAGAATCCTACGCTACCTGCACTGAGTTCAAGCTTTGTGTTAATTGGAAAAATCCTAACAAGGAGTTCTAAATTAGCGATAGAAATGTATTATTTTTCAAATCTGGCAACTCCCGGTAGCTTCACAAACAAGCCTTCAGTCATCTTCATGTGGAAGCCGTATCCCATGAGTATTCTTTGAGCACCTGTTAGCACATGGTAGTGTGTACTCTGAAGGATACCGTGATGTGTAGGATGACCTTTACCCTCAAGAAATGGAGTCTTGTGGAGAAGATCAACCATGCATACAAAGCACATAACACAAGTAGGAAGTGACGTGTCATGAGGGAGGTACAGGAAACCGTGCTGTGAGCATTCAGAGCGAAGACACCACTGCTCACTGCGGTTGAGAGCATCACGAAGACAGCATCTGAGCCAGGCCATGGAGGATGTGGAACGCGGATATGCCAAGAAGTAGGGAAAGATACTACGGGCACCCTCCCGAGTATCAGCCCTGAGGCAGGAGGGAGAAATGTCTGCAGCACTCACCAGGTGGTGGCTCCCAGTTGGCAAGGACTGAGCTTTGGCCAATATTTTATTCCCAGTTTGGCACATGGATGGCACACAGTAAATGAGAGTGAATGAATGGGCTATGAGCTTCCTGCAGAGGGGAGCTGAGATGAGATATGGTCTCTTAATAAAAATGTCTGAGGCCTTTTTATTAGGCTCCCATGCCCTCTTACAGCCTGTCTTCTAGGGGAAGAATGTGAGTAGGCAGATGAGTATGGGGCAAGGGCCAAACTGCTGGGATATTTAGTGCAGTATCAGCCAACTGGGAGCAAAGTGAGCACGATCCCAGTGAATGGGCAGGAGGGTTGATGAGCCTCCTTCCCTGGAAAGGTGGTGCCGACCAACCACAAGCGGAGGAAACCACAACACAGGATCGTGAAGCAGTCTTGGGGGCCCGTGATGGAGGCTCGTCTGGCTCTGTGGCACTGTGTCTGTCTTGGCTTTTCTTTTTCTATGGCCCACTCTTCCCCAGAGACATTTCTCTCCCATCTTTGACAACCTGGGAGTGGGAAACTGTCCACCGGGCCCACAGATTGCCAAGTCCTGCAGCTGCTGTGAAGGAACA